TATTTATTTATAACTTTAAATACAAACAACAAAAAAATCTACTATTTTTAAGATAATTAAACAATATGGAATATATTTTCAATCAAATCCAATAATGCATAGTGATCCCGCTAATCCACAGATCATACATGATCGTTTAAGAGAATTAAAAGAAAATAATTGTGAAGTTGTTCTATTTATTTTGAATGGTGTAGGAGAAGATACTTATAAATCAATTAAATATTTTGGAAATCAAAAACTTGGTATTGTTACACAGTAAGAAAAGTTATTCTTTTTTCAAATTTAAATTTTTATTGAAAAATATGTTTTTTATCATTTTAGATGTACAGATTTTGTTGCTATTGCAAAAAATATTAGAAATAAAAAACTCGATATGGTAAGAATAAAACTAATACAGTTTGAAGAAAAAGAAAGAAATCAAGTTCGATATATGAAATGTATTGAGTGTATTTACTCTGTCAACATTTGAGATATAAAAAAAAACGTCACTTAACATTTTCCTTCCCTTAGAAAATATTGAAAAAAAGAATAATCAAAGATAAGTTTTTATCCTAATACACATATATTTCATAGTATTTAATATATATATATACTTTTAGTATTTACAAAATCTTGTACAAAAATTTAATGCTAAACTCGGTGGTATTAATGGAATGGTATCTTTAGCTCGAGCATTAACATCATCTTCAACAAGAGATGATGTATTTATGTTTTTCGGTGCTGATGTAACACATACAACATGTTCAAGAGATAAACCATCAATAGCAGCTGTTATTGGTTCAGTTGATTCTACAAGTTTGTTGATTTTTTATTATGAAATAAAATTTAGAGAAAAAAAAAAGAATGAATAATATTTCTTTTTAGGTACACAATATGCATCACGTGTTGGTGAACAATATCCTGCACGAGGAAAAATTTCATTAGAAATTATAAAAGATTTATATCAAATGTCAACAGATTTATTAAAATTATTTGCACAAAGAAATGGATGTTTCCCTAATAAAATTGTGTTTTATCGTGATGGTAAAAGATTTGTTATTTTATCAAAAAAAAAAAAAAAACAACAAAGAAAATTAATATTTTTGTTTTCATTTTATTTATCTATTTAGGAGTCGATGATGGTCATTTTCAAAAAGTACTTGACCATGAAATACGAGCTTTGCAAAATGCTTGTAAAGGTATTTTATTTTATTTTTTCTTTATTCTTCCTAAAACATTCGCACCAATATGATCTACTGTGGGTCATAAGATGGTGTTGTAGTAAAAATTTTCAGAAAGATACGTTGCTGGAACTTTAGTATTTTGATCCTTGTATTATTCTTTTTTTCGTTAAATTAAGATACTTTTATTTAGGATTAAAATCACATATCATCAATGAATGAGTTATCGAAAATTAATTTGATAAAGTATTCGTTGATATCGAAATTAAAAGTTTCAAAAGTGACGCAATTCATTTTGCAGGTTTGTTTTCTATAGAAATTAAGAAAATTGACATGGTATACATTACCAAAATACTCACGTTCTATATATAATAATGTTTAGTGTCTGCGTGTGTGTGTCCATGCCGGATCAAAGGTCAAATAAGACTATAAGGAGGAGGGTCCCAAGGACATTAAATGAACTACTCTTAGGCCATCAAGGGCTATTATACGAGGGCACCCGTTGGCCCTCAAGGGCTATCCTATGGGGGTACCCATAGGCTCTGAATGGAGTAAGGCAATAAGGGGATAATGCTACAAGAGCTACAAGGGGATATAAGTCTATAAGCCCGAAGGCTAATGAAGTATAAAAATATGTGTCATATAAGAGTATGAGGTGAGAGGCTATCTATATATACAATGTGGAGTGTCTATACGGCTCTTACTGCGTGAAAGATTAAAGTTTTGAGATCATATGTTAAAGGAGAAAACAACCGTGCAGTATGCACGGGCTCACGCTAGTTTCAAATAATTCTGGCTTTTTATTTTTAGTAAGTTTTGACGCACTAAACACTCGACCAAACTCAATTCTTAGTATCTTTAATGTCGTTATTACCCACGCTCATCTTTCAACAAATATTTAAATTAAAAACTAATTTAACTAAAATTATAGTATGGCTCATTTGAGATCTCTTTTAAAAAGCTACTAAATCATGTATTTTTTAAAGTCCAAAGAATCTGGCCACTTATAACAATCCTCAATACACTAATTCAGAATATCGTATTAGTTTCCATTCATATTGAACTTTTTCTGATCAAAATTCTTTCAACTTTAGAAACTATATAGATCTTTAATTTGTTGAAAATTCGAAGCAAATAATAAATACAGTACATATGTGAATAGTTTTTACCAATGCATCAAATTGATAAATTCATTATTATTTGTATGGTTTGCTTATTCTGAAATTGCATCTTTTAGATAACAAAATTTGATCGAAACCTTAAGAAATTAGTATCGAAATGTTAGTCTTAACATACTTTTTTCTGTTGATATATGACTCAATGAAATAGGCTAAGAATAATACTAGTAGACCGTCTCGACTACTTAAGCGCTCTCATCCTTTCTGTTGTAAGAGGCTAGTTCACTTCCAATGATTTTTCATTCTCAATAAAATTCAACTTTTATTTCTCTTCATATTTTGACTTGTATCACCTGCAAAAATAACATTTTTAGCAACTCTGTAGAATTCAGTCACGTCCAATGTGTTAATTTTATTATTATTTTATTTTTGTAGCACTTTATATGAACAATCCATTACCAAAAATAACTTTTATTATTGTTAAAAAACGTCATAATACAAGATTTTTTGTTCGAGATCCTACTACAGGAAACTTTAGTAATGTTCAACCAGGTAAATTTTATTTCAATACTAACTCAATAAATTTTATCTTTTCTTTATTTTTTGTTTTCTTTAATTAGGTACCATTGTTGATACTGATATTGTTCATCCACAAGGTTTTGATTTTTATTTAAATAGTCATGCAGCTATTCAGGGTAAATTTCAATATCGAAAGAAAACAGACAAAAAAACGACATTCTCGAAAATTTATTTTTCTTAAGGAACATCACGACCAATTTTATATCATGTTTTATATGATGAAATTGGTTTTTCATCCGATGAAATACAATCTCTAACATATTATCTTTGTCATTCGGATGTTCGTTGTACAAAAGCTGTATCAATACCAGCACCTGTTCATTATGCACATTTAGCTGCATATCAATCACGTGATGCTGATAGTTATGAAAATGATCGAAGGAGTACGACTGGAGGGTAAGAGTTGTTTCTTTTTTTCATCAATACAAAAGAAAAATGAAATATTTTATTTATAGAGATTTTGACGATGACGATTTGATAGAAACTACGAGCTCAATAACATTACAAGAAGTAGAAACAAGACTTATTCAACTTGATCCGTCTATTCAAGATACAATGTGGTATGTGTGAAGACAACAGTGATATTTAATATTTTATGGAAATAAACAAAAAAAAAGAAAAATACTTTGGTGATAAATAAATAAAGTTTATTATTATATTTTATTAAATGTTGTGATGCTTTTCATCGGTTTTTAAATAAACAAAGTATTTCGGTGTTTTTTTAAAGACTTTCTTATTAATGTTTGTCGGACAATTCAAACAATAGAGTATAATTGTATATTTATTTCTCTATTTGGAATAACCATCAAGAACAAGAGTAATAAATAAAATTTCTTAAATTATTATCAACGCTAATAAACATGATACTCCTTGAATAACTTTCTATAAGAGCATGATGGGGATCTGTGAAATTCATCGAGCACCATTAATTCAGCATAAAAGGGTAGGGCAGATCAGGTCATTTTTCTGTCTCCAATTAAATTTACTTTTTTCTATTAATTTGTAATAGGGCATGATGTTTGAGGGTATTCTACACATTAGTTTTGAACAGCTAATCATAAGATTTTTGGGACCTCTGATCTCCTGGGAAGATCTCTAGAGAAATTTTTATCTTTGATTTCGTTGAAACATATATAACTTAGTAGAGTCAAATGTACTGATTACAAATATTAATTTATTGTGTAGCCAGGACTTTTTAATTTACAACTAGAATAGATCTTCGTGAGATCCTTCTTGGGTCTTATATCCCGATTTATCACCACATATCTTCTACATGGATTATTCTAAAGTCGTGAAATAAGACTTTTAATCACTAAAATAACGTAGTTTACTTGAAAATGGAATATAAACGTTCCTTAACATAATAATCGGCTGTGAAAATTCAGATTGTCAGTGCAAGCTGTACAAAAACTAATGCGTGGAATAGCATCGCATATCGTGTCTCATTGCGTATTGATAAAAAAAAGTCAATTTGGTTGGGAGTAGACAAGTAACCCTATCTAATTCACCCCTTCGTTTTACTATTCATATGGGACTATTGTTCAATATTGTTTATTGCTACGACTGATTATTGCAAATTGGTTCCTACATTTAATAGAATCATGCAGCTGTTTTATCTCAACCAAGGGCTCGAAGATAATTTTAGTGAAACAAGAATATATAAAAATTGTTATAATTTTCTTTACCTACAATAATTTCGAGAAACATAAAGGATCAGTATTCCCGCTGCTAAGTTATTGAGCAACATCATTAATCAATTCCTTCATAATATATTTTATAAAGACTGAAAAACACATAAAGTGTCGTTCGATTCAATATTTTCTCGATTAAACAAATTTTAAAATCACGATAACTGTAAAGAAGTTCTTTTTCATCAATAAGCGTTGAAAATAAGCAGCAAGAAAAATAAATTAAACTAATCTGAAAATCTCAATGTCAGATATGATAAAATTTCGAGCTCCTGTGAATGTATCGTTACCCTTTTCAGTGGTATCGAGGTATGACGAAGGACAACCAATGTAGCTTGAATTGTTCGAATTGCTACCATTTTTTTACGCAGAAATCGTGACCGATTCCGAATGATGAACTATCATCACTTTAATGATAAACTGCTTTTACAGTCTTATTAGGATCGATGAGGTATTTAGACGGTGGAATCTTTGTGAGGATTGGTCAAAGTGAACAAAAATGCTGTAATATCATTTTTATATGAATTATCCGAAGTCCATGGTATAGCTGTATAATCTCCAAAAAGATAGTTGTTATTGGATTGAATAATTGTCATTGTTGGTCCTTTATTATTACACCGTGAATGAAATGCATTTGCATCAAATCCATCACGTGAAGCTTAATAAATCAATTCCCATCGTTGATTAGTCTTACTATAGAATTCATTTAGTTTCATCTTATGTTTTGGGCGAAGCAATGTTTCATTCGGAAAACAAATATTCGTTAATATACTGATCAGACCATGTAAATGAAAATATTCGGCTTCTGTAAGAAGAAGTTCACGAAGTGAATCGTTGTTCAATATGTCACTTGATAGTTTATTTGTTCTTAAATATGCTAGTATATAATTGAACAATTTTCCATCACGATCAATAAATATACTTTCATCATCAGGATCTCTTTCAAGTTGCCATTGTTTAGAGAAGAGTGCAGTGAAAAATGTATTTTTTTCGCGTGTTAATGTCTCAACACTTGTAGAAAATTTATCACCTCCAACATCAAGTATAACTTTACCTTGAATTGACGTTGTTGCTAATTTAACTTTGATATCTTTCCATTCTTTTTCTTCATTTGATGCATTAACCTCCTAGCGTAACGTATCGAGACGAGTTTCTAGCTGATTGATGTCTTCTTGAAGAGTGTTTAAATTTAAATCTGTTGTACTCACATGCTCAACCATAGTTAGTTTTGGAGTGTTACGTTTTTGCTTCTTCCTGCTTGCATGATTGAAGCCGACTGAAAACTCACGTGTATTCTTAATATTATGTTATCAAATATTGCGATTTATGTTGTTAAAAGAAGGCATCTGGTCTTAATACTATGAGAGAGAAGGTTTTTGTTGACTGATAATATGTCAATATTTACCTGCGTCGCTTGTTTTTACTTGTATTATCAAGAATTCATGTATTCTCACAATCTTCTTTTTGTCTATTGAAAAAATCCAGTCCATGTATCGTTCATCTTGGAAATTCTCCATTTACTCTTTCGGTACTGTGTAATGCATATGAATGGAATATTCATCATTGATAGTTTTTCTTTTTATATAACATTTAAGATTGATTTTGAATAAAACGCTTTAGATATTGACAGATATGTATTTTCTCGGATGATTAATGTATAAAGAGCATGAAAAACCGTTCAACATCTTTTCTATTCTTTTAGTCAATTCTTATCTGTTGAGAATTAAAGAAAGGACTGCTAAGCTTACTTTAAGAATGCTAATATTAAAGCTCATTGACTTATACTTATGACACACTTATTGACAATGTTGCAATTACATCATTTCGTACTAAACATTTTTCATAAACGAGATAAAAGAAATAAAGTAAATAATATAATTTATACAAAGGCATTTACAAATGAAAAAACGATTTAGAAATGAGAATACTTTACATAATTGTTCAATATTATTCAAAAGTAATAATAATCAATCTATAAGATTTCTCCGTATTTTTTGTCACAGAAATGATCAGCACCAGTCAGCTATAAATTGATTTTATTCCAAAATATTTAAAAAAAAAAGATAAATTTATTATTATATCAAAATAAAATATGCTTGAAATGTTTTAAATGATTTATGATGAATCGTTTGACAAATCAACAGTACTCTTGCGTTCAAAATCATAAAATCATGTGTCTGAGAAAGGTTCTTTATTTCGATGTTGACTGATATAGATTTTATTCGACTATGCTTCAGTTGAATATTGATTCAATTTTTTTAAAAATCTGTTCACAAGTTAAAAAAGGTAAATATTTGCAAGGTATCCCAAAATCATATGACTATCATATACATTTGTGCATAAGTTTTTCTTTTCAAGATATCACCTTATTGATATGTTATTTATATTTTAATATAGACATAGCTCTATAAGATCTCTTCCTATTATTCATCACTTTCGACTATGGATTTTCTGATAGAAACGAAAAACTTACTGTTCCAAAGTTATAGCACGTCTGATCGAAGGACTATAATGTATAAGACCAGATTATTGGTCTACTGAATTTTTGCCTTCAAGTATTCCTCTAAGACGATAAAATTCATGATGCAAACATTCTGACACTGTTTTCGTTGTACTTTACATATACTTCTGTTATTATGATATGCATTTTTTTTTCAGTTATGCCATTTATGTATCATTTCGAAGGTCTCATAAAGATCTGACTATGGTAAAAGAAATTCAAAAACAGATATTGTTTGATCCTTAAAGCAGAAGCTTTGATTATGTACATATTACGCGTCTGATCAATATATCAAGTATCAATTGACTCGATAACTTTATTACACTATTATGTTATATCATTGTAAAGATCATATTGAAGCCTAGCTGTGAAAAAAAAGTCATGAACAACTATTTGCCTAGCGTCCAGATCTATGCGAAATAATAAGCCAAGAGAATTCCGTATATTGAAGCATAAGATTAAGAGATGCCCTATATATCTCGAATTTCTGTTAAGATTTTTAGTTAATAACTTCGCAATAGATTCCAATTGCCAGAGCTATTGGTCAGCATTGAACGTATGCATAATTGATATGGGGTCTCAATCGAGCTCCATCGCAATAAAAGTCATTTCATATGGCATCACTGAAAAACATACTGCATATTATAATAGCAAAGATTTATGTAAAATACAATCAAAATAGTGTTAGGATTTTCACGATGATAAACTTTGTCATCTTATATAAACTATTGAAAGTAAAATGTCGATAGGCTAATATTAGTTCTCATAAACCTTCGCTCTTTGATTTTCGCCTAACCAAAATGATAAGATTACTATTGTTATTTCATTATTAGTGAATCAGAGAGACATTAGTTTTTAAAATAATTTTTATTTGAATTTAAAATGTAGTTTTCTTTGATAAATCAAACATGACTTGAAAATATCGTTTAAGCTCAGTATCACATGGCTGAAAAATTTGAAATACAAACAGGATTGATCTTTTTTTGGCAACGAGTTCGAATTTATTACAGTTATAGACATAGTTAAAAAAAAATTTCTGTATTTCTGACACACAGATGGAACCGAATTTGAACGTTTTGTTTTTATTTATTATGAAAATAAACGCATATCCACAATATATTATTTTGTAACCATATCTATGATCTTAGCAAAGAGCTCGGAAGCATCTGAGTTTGCAGTCGAAAATATTTTATATTCATATTTGTTGTACAAGAATCAATCCTACTTTTATTTCAAATGTCTTAGCCATGATATGGAGCTTAAACGACGTTGTCAAGTTGTTTTGACATTTTTTAAACGCGATGTCGTTTTAAATTCAAATAAAAATTATTTTACAAATTCTTTTCTATGAAAATATTCAAAAGAAGTTGTTTATGTAACTTTGAAAGAAAAAAAAACATCTCTCTGGTTCATTAATAACGAAATAGTAATTGTGACTATATAATTTTGACCAGAAAAAAAACGAAAAGTTTTTAAAAATATTTATTTTCTTCAACTGATGCTAATATATCTTCTCAAATGTAAAACATTGATGTCGTACTATGGTATTTACTCTATCAAAATTTGCTTTAAAAAGAATAGAGTAACACTCTCAAGTTATATGAAATTCATAAGAAGATATTTTCATTCTAAAATTAAACAATTCGATTTAACATCATATAAAGAATAATAAAAATTTACTATCGATGTCGTGAATTTTATTTAACAGTACAAATGCTTTACTCTTGTATTGAATCGATTCTAAGTAATCTTTTATACAGAAAACCAATTGCAAGAAAATAATTCCATTTAATTTTCGAACATTTTTTTTTAAAGAAGGTTGATGAATATCTCTTTGTTTTGATAATAAAACTGTATGGTAAGAGAAAATAATTATCTATTTACAGTTGGCTATTATGTGTTTAAAGTATTGATACATGCGATTGATTCTGATATCGATATTGTTGCTTATAAAACATCGAAAGAAAAGTTTATCATCAATATAATATTTTATAGAAATGTTAAATCGTATAACGTGATAATTATATTTATGAATTCAAAACCATTTATAATTTTCATTGGAATTTCTACCTCAATTTGTACTTCAATTATGAAAGTTCGTCATGAATGATTGTGTAAGAACGAGCAATAAAGTGTCACTCATTTCAAGGAATAGTATTTGCAATTGTTTGATCGATTTTCTTGTTAGATCATTGGCATGCAAATATTATAACCATGTCAAAATCTAATTTAAACTCAAAAATTTTATTTGATCTTATTGAAAGTATGTGTTACTATAATGATTACATTGAGTAAACCCCCCCCCCCCCCCCCCCGCAATAGAAGGCCCCCCCGTATTACAAGGCCCCCCCTTATTAGAAGGCCCCCCAAAAAGTTCTGAATGATCGCCTTAATAGAAGGCCCGGGCCTTATATTAAGGCTATGATTCTACTTCGATACCGGCGAACCTGGAAAACACTCACGTAAACTTTGACGCGAGAAGTTCTTTTATACCTCAAAAGCTTTCAAATAGTGTGTATCTGTCCCTGTGAATAGGGGACCGTTCATTTGGCATACAGAGTATCCGCATTTTGGTTCCATTTTTGTCGAAATTCCTACGACTTGGGAAGCTCAGCAAAAAAAACAATTTTATCCGCTTAATTATGAACGTCTCGGATAGTCAAAACTGAAGGAATTATGGAAAATAACTGAACATCAAGTTTTGGTAATTTATCAATGTACAAAAATCTTTTTCACGTGAATGGTAAGATTTCGTCATTTTTGCGAAAAAAAGACTACCTATTGGAAAATTAGACGTCTTTTCGACAATGTATATCATAGATTCCTAATAGAAGGCCCCCCTAAATAGAAGGTCCCCCTAAAAATTTTGTTTGCTCCGCCATTATAGAAGGCCCCCGGGCCTTTTAATGCGGGGGGGGGGGGGTTTATAATCATTATTGAAGAGATTCTCCAACGCTCCAGAAATTCCCAGTTCAAGAAACATGCGGTACTTTAAGGAAAGTGTGTGAACTCGAGAAATTCAAGAAATGAGTGTGGATATAATTCTAGGTCTTGGGTTTTAGGGTGGGTAACGGTGAGCATAAGACCTATCTTCACACTCAATACTAACCGAAAGTCTTCCATCATTCACATCCACATCCTCAATTTCATAAAGCACTTTGCCAATCACTCGTCAGTAACAGTTAATGTGACACTTGCAGTTGAATATAATACTCATTTAACACTCAACTACTTGATGCTGCTTGTTTCATAATCGGTGTGCATAACAATCTCTTTTGAATTTGAGGTTGACTAAACTCTGAGTTTCTGCTTATTTATCGTCTCTAGTGCATACAAACAAGATATTTTGTGTGGTGTCATGTCAATGTTTATAGATTTAAACTAATATTTACATGTCATTAACAAGTTTCTCTAATACTAAGAAAGTGGCTTGTTTTTCACGAAAAAAAGCATCAGACGGAATCTTGATTTGAATAATTTATACGTGCGCTTTTCTATAAAATACCGACACATGCATGCATATACAATTGCTTCGAAACATACAATGATATTCTCAGTTATTTTGGTCTTTGCTGTGATTTCGGTAAAGAGTGGCTTTACACAATCTTCTAATGGTACTTCAGTGGTGAAGATACCCAGAATGGTGGATAATAGCCAACTTTTTCCCGAATATTTTATTTTCTACCAGTCAGAACATTACACAAGTTTTTCGACTCCGTCAAACATCTATCTGAAAGTACCAGTCTTAAATTTCCCCGTTCATCACACAAAACCAGCAATTTATGAATTGAAATTCCAGGTAGCATGCCGCAAAGAAAAGTCGTGGACGGGCTCTTTTCAGCACTTCATGATCGATGGTCTTATACTCATATCGAATCATCTCCTACCGAATAACGAACGACGGTAAGCGGTAGCACCGGAGCTAGGAACAAATCTTCATGTCGTGGAGGCGCGAGGTGGAGTGCTTCTCGAAACTGGAGGTGTGAATACATACTATTATTCAAGTTGCAATAAATCAGACATTGTTCATCTTCCACCTGGTATTCATGTAGTGGACGTAGTATTACGCCCAGAGTTCAAAATGGAAGTGATCGGCGGTGGGCTGTCGATGAAATTGATACAGTATCCATCAGCTTCAAATATAAATCTCGACTCACCCGTCAAAAAATAGTATGTATTTTGTTTTTCAAAGATGGGAGTTTTCATAGAATGAAAACGGCTCAGTATATATTTACATAAGCGATGCGATCAATAATTACCTCCATAAGATTTAAATAATTAATGTTGCATAATTGTAACTGTTTAAGGTTGCAGTTAAGAATTGCCCGATGAGATAACAATGTCATCAATGAAAACAATTGACAATGTTTCGTTTCATTTCATAATAATCTTTCTTCAATATCAAATTTGTATCCTAAAAGAGATACAATGATAAAAATTAAATCATAAGAGAATGATAGTTATATTATATTGTACCAAGATCTATGACTATATCTTGGAGTCAGATTTTTGAGATCTCGATTCAAGATCTAGTTCTCTAATTTTATTTTATTTAATATAAAAAAAAGTTTATCGGAACATTGATAAAACATCTAAGCTTAATTTAAAGATGATTGTAACAAAAGAAGTTGAAAAAAGAAATTAATATAAAAAGAAAAATGAACGGATTAACAGCGATTCATCCTTAGACCGTATCTTCTTGATTGCGGGCGATTTTTCTTAATTGGAGAAAAAATATGTCCGCAAAACAGAATCAGGGGGTATAGACAAAAATGACCGCATTTTGAAAACTGTCCGCAAAGCAGAATCGAGGTGGAGAAATAAAAATGTCCGCATTATAGAATCAAGAAAAAAATAGAAATAGTAAGAACAGTGGCGTAGCCAACCTTGGTCAATTGGACAATTGCCTAATGGCCTAAAAGTTATTGCCTAATGATATTTTGGAAACGATAGCAATGGCCCATGACAAAAATCTTGATATATGTGTGTTCAGAGACTTCGATGATGTTACTTTAATAAATCGCTTCAAAAACTTGACAAATTGGAACTTTTTAAGTCACAAATTAGAACAAGTCAGTTAAATTTCGTCTCAAGTCAGTCAAGTCAGATTAAAGTCTCTAAAAATTCTTTCGAAGTCAGTCAAACAAATCAAAAATGGCTTAACTTGTTTTTGTCTTGATTTTCCCAGCTCTGCCACTTCCTGTAGTAATTCAACCAAGTGATCGCGAAAACAACAATTCCTCATTAATAAGCATTGGTTTTCGTAATGGATAAGACTTTCAAAACAATGAAGCCCAATAGACTTTTAATTGCCCCAAATGGCCCAATCCTATAAAAAATTTATCAGGAAGCGGTACAAGATTCAAAAACTGCTGGCTACGCCACTGAAGAATATATTTTTGAGACATTAGAGAAACCGAGTATGCTCGCCTCTAACTTGAAAGTAACAATTCATCTTTAAGAACCATCGGTTTCTGTGATAGAAATAAACACAAAAAAATGATGTCCAATAGATTTTAAATTGCCCAACATTGCCCAATCTTTAAAAAAAATTATCAGAAAATTGCCCAAGACACAAAAACTCCTGGCTACGCCACTATTTGTATCTTGGTCTTTCTTCACATAATAAATTTTTTCTTGATTCTATAATGCGGACATTTTCATTCTCTGCCTCGATTCTGCTTTGTGGACATTTTACCTTAATTGGCTAAAAAAAGTGTCCGCATTGTAGGTGTAGCCCCTGAGACGACTACTGTAGAGAAAACATATTAAATGGAAAAGTGATTTCATTGAAAGATTTCATTCACACCGAAATTTAAAACATCGTTTAGTATGTTATCTTCTATGAAAGATTCTATCTTTTATAAAAATTAAAACTTGTAAAATTCCTTTATTTTCAAAAGATTGTATTCAATCGTGATTTTTTCCTCAAAAACAAAGGATAACATCTTTCATAAAGACATAGTAAACCAATTGAAAAAATATTTAATCATATGTTGAAAACTTCTTTGATATATGCTATACTGAAAAATCAACTAAGAATGCTTTTTTTGTAAATAAATTACAAAGTATTTAAGAATCTTCGATTATCTAAATTAATCAATAATGTTACTATTTTTGTAGTTAAAATTTTAGAGATACAAGAAACAATTATCTTTCGAAAATTTTACTTACAAGAAGTTTCACTAAGGGCTTCCCTCTATTAAATAAATATGAAATACGTTTCGCTAATATCATTGATGGATACTTTAAAACATGATTTCTAAGACTCAAGATGTTTATCAAACTGTCTGCATGAAACTGATGGTTCTGAACATTTATTAAAAGAAAAACGAAAATTTGTGTCTTTCATGTTATCATATCAGTTATAATCACTCTGATCTGTATTAGTTTTTGTGAAAGATAATTTATATTTAATAAAAAACGTGCATCTTATCAGCATATCCAATATTTTCTCGGTTAAATAGATTGTAAAGCAAGATACTCATACGTAAATTCTTTTCCATTTATGAGTGTTAAGAAACAGTAGTAAGAAAAATAATCTAAGCTAATTTGTAAACTTCAATGTCAGATGCACTAAAATTATAAGTTCCAGTAAATGTCATATCACCCATTCCAGTTGTATCAAAGTATGACGTTGGAAAATTAGTGTAGCTTGAGTTGTTCGAATTGCTACTATTTGCTAAATAGATATCATGACCAGCTCCGAATGTTGGACCATAGTTTTTGTGATGACGAATTGCACATTCTGTATGATCAGGATGAATAAAGTATTTCGTCGGTGGAATATTGTGAGGATTGATCAAAGTGAATAAAAATGTTGTGCTATCATCTGCATATGAATCATTTGAAGTCCATGGAATAGATGTATAACCCCCAAAAAGATAGTTGTTACTTGATTGAATAATTGTTATTGTTGGTCCTTTATTATTACAACATAAATGAAATGCATTTGCATCAAATCCATCACGTGATGCTTTATAAATCAATTTCCATCGTTGATTAGTCTTACCATAGAATTCATTTAATGTCTTCTTATGCTCTAATTGAAGCAATGTTCCATCAGGAAAATAAATAACACCTAACTTATCCATCAGACTATGCAAATGAAAATATTCAGCTTCAATGAAAAGACTACTCAGAAGTGTTTCATCTTGCATAACATTAGGTGGCATCGTATTCGTACGCAAATATTCAAGAATATAAGAAAAGATTCTACCATTTCTATTGATGAATATACTTTCATCATTAGGATCTCTTTCGAGTCGCCATTGTTGCGAGAAAAGTGCAGTGAAGAAAGTATTTTTTTCGCGTGTTAATGTCTCAACACTGGTAGTATATTTATCACCTCCAACATTAAGTATAACTTTACCTTGAATTGATGCTGCTGCTAATTTAGTTTTGATATCTTTCCATTCTTTTTCTTCATTTGATGCATTAGCTAGTCGGTGTTTTAAGATTGTCGTCAATTCCATTGCTTGATCACATAAGTTTTTTGCAAGTTTGATATAATAATTACATTCATTTAAAATTGAGTTCATTTCTTCATGTAATTTCTCGAAACGAGTTTCGAGTTGGTCGACATTATTTCGAATAATGTTTAAATTGGAATCCATTTCTTCAGTTTTTTTTCAATAAAATGATTCTTTCCACAGCTGTTTATTATTCAAAACTCGTAAGAAAAGAAATGATCCTGTTAAGCTTTTTTTGTTTGAGAGGCATAGCTTAAATACTACGGAAATACCGTATTCAAAGAGGAGGACAATTCGAATGAGTTATGATTCATTCTTCATTGTTCTGTACGGTTAAAATTATTTCGAAAGCCTGGCATTTGATATTTTCGTCATAGTTTTTGAAAATGTTCACTAGAAATAATGCAGAACGAATTCGAATTCATTGGTTTTGAGTGTAGAGAAAACATATGTATGTATTGATCCGTTACTAAATTGAGGATGACTATACCTTTACATGCTGTTGTTGCAAATATAATTTTGATATCTTTCCATTCTTCTTCTCTATCGATATATTGACTCATTTATATTCTATGGTTGCAATCATTTCTGTTGCTCATTGACGTAACTTTTTTAAAGATTTGATGTAATCATTACATTCAGTTAGTTTTGAAATTGCTCTGTTACGTAATATATCAAAACCGGTTTCGAGTTTATTTATATTGTATTGAACCGGATTTTAATTGGAAGCCATATGTGTTGTTTTTTTTTGATAAAATGGGTATTTGTCAAGTACGTTACTAATCAAGATTGGTCAGAAAAGAAATGATTTTTATTGTATCTTTTCTCCTTGAAAATACCAAGCTCAAATACTACAAATCAAACGAATTGAGAGAACAGAACAAATTTCAATGAGTCATGCGTTGTTTTTTATTTTTGTCTGTGCATAGTTGCAATGACTTCTGAAGTCATGCAACTCATACTTTATTCATAAATTTTTAGAATTCTTACAAAAAACACTAAACAGTGAATTTGAATTAATTCATTTTGTCACTAATGTAAAAATTAATAATTAATAATTTGTTTGAGAAATATGGCTTCGAGGCTGTTTTCTGAATCAATTTTTTTTTTAATCGTATTTTTATTTTTCTGATTTCATAATTTTAAACAAATTGTAATCATTAGATGAATTTTTCATTGCAGAAAAGAATTCAAAAGCCAGCAGAAAGCCTTTTTTGTGTACTCAAAAGGTGAATACACTATAGAATCGGTCAGTGTGTCCGACCTACCGTTTACACGATAACTCTTCAAAGGGTAGTCCGATTGTGATGAAATTTTGCACGCAGAATCGTCCTATCAATATCTCGGTCGAGTCGAAGATAAGAATGATTCGTCAAGAAATTGCTGGGTCATCGCAAAAAGTGTCATTATTTCTTATGCTTTTCTATGCGAACATTGACCTATCCCAGTTTTCGTAAAAAAACTTTCACTCATAATCTAACAAAATCTCAGCTATTATATACCATTCGATAGAGAATTTCACTGGCGACAAAATGGTATATAAAACATTAAGAAACAAGAAGGCTAAGTCACCTATTGCAAAGAGACTTAAATGGAAATTTCTTCTGTGTTTGTCCATGCTCCCAGATCGAGCCTTACGGCGACCAGAAACGACCGTATACGGCTGTTTACGGCGCCGTGTACGGCTGTTTACGACGGCGTATACGGCTGTATACGACGAAAATACGGCCGTATCTTCGCCGTTATGGTATGGACCGTATTACGGCCGTATTGGTATGTACCGTATTGCCGCCGTATTTCGCCGTTTTTGTATGGACCGTATTACGGCCGTATTTCGCCGTGCCGTATTCGGCGCAATACGACAGCAGTAAACGACCGTATTTGCGCCGTGACACGTAACTAGTTAAGGCAAACACAGCCGTATACGTCAGTGTATACGGTCGTAGTACCATGGTATACGACCGTATACGGTCTATTTGAGATCTTTTCTTACCAGGCATACTAAAGTCTCCCAGTAACTTTAAAATAAGATACCATTCAATAAGCATCGTCTCGTATTAAACTAGCTATTACAGATCTCAAAATATATTAACAGTCGGTTACTATCATTAAAACGTATTTCAAGATATTTGTTCATTAGAAGAGCCACGATAAATTTTGAAATTCGTACAAAAAAGGTAACTTGCACAAAAACATTCTAAGACATTTTACCCATAAAATAGCTAATACAATATCGATGATACCTTTAAAAGATGATGCGGTGTAAAAGAAATCATTAAATATGACCTCTCAACCACCCGAAACTTTCATGGACGACGCAGCATGCCTTTGTTGGTTCGAACAGAAATCAATAAGAACCCAAGGAACGACTGACCATCTAATTGCAAGTGAGATAACACTGGGGGTATCTAGCTCGCGAAGGTTGTAATATGTGGCGGATTTTTTTTATTTCTGTGCATGCGCTGTTTCTTGTCCCTTTCTCTCAGCACTGTCATTGATAATAGAGCTTCCGTTCATTTATAATAAAACTTATTCCACCCACTCCTACTTCCAACTCACACAGTTTCCTTACCATCAAATCTCAAGAGCGGTCATCATTTAAAAGGTCGGAGTCATCCTTTTCAATCTCCACAAAATATCCTCCTTTCCCCTGAAACCTGCTCAGCTGAAGTACATTCAGAAACGCTTCCGGTTGTTCCCTTCTGACTACCTCTCCATATGCAATAAGATACAACTATCTATGCACCCAACTCAATGATCTCAACTATGTCCCAAACTCATATACAAGACGAGCAAATGTGCATCAAAATACAATGAATAAAACCGATTTCAATTCCCATGAGGAGGTCCAAAAACGGCCTTCTAATACATGTTATTAGAAGGCGGTTTTCTAACACCTATAAACTATCGCACATGCTACATTCATATATATATAGGTAGGTTGAGTCTCAAAAAGACTGAAAAAAGATCTTTTTAATATATGTTACTCCTACCTGTTTTCTAACGAGGAAAGCTCCCCAGGTGATAAATCATTTTCGAGTTCGGACTCTATGCATTAAGTAGATTCCAGTGAAGTATAAAAATTCCCAAAAGGATACGTTCCCTTAGGCCTTCCATCTTAAGTTATCACCATTTCAGTAGAATTTTAGACTATAGCTAGGTATGTACCAATAAATCGAACGGTGTTATTTTGAGCTGAAATTTTGCCCACAGATAGGTGTACTTGTCGCTAGAATGCTCTAAAAATTTCAGCTCAAAAGAATGTTTTCTTCTCGAGATACTAAATTCCCAAAATTTATTCATATACCATGAAGGATGTGCGAATCTTATGGTTTTTGCAAATTCAATATCTCGAGAAGAAAACATTCTTTTGAGCTGAAATTTTCAGAGAATTCTAGCCACGAGCATACCAATCTGTGGACAGAATTCAGCTCAAAATAACATCGTTCGATTTGTTAGTACATACCTAACTATAGGCTAAAATTCTGCTAAAATGGTCATATCTTCAGAGGGAAGGTCCAAGGGAACGTATCCTTTTGGGATTTTTCATACTTCACTTGGATCTACCTATTGCATAGAGTCCGAACTCGAAAACGATTTATCACTTGGAGCCCTTCCCTCGTAAGTCGAATGAACTCAAACACATGGTACACACATATATATAGATGGATTGAGTCTCAAAAAGACTGAAAAAAGATCTTTTTAATACATGTTACTCCTACTTGTTTTGTACGTCCAACGAACTCTAACACATGCTACACTCATATATATATGGTGGGTTGAGTCTCAAAAAGAGTGAAAAAGATCTTTTTAATCCATGTTACTCCTACCTGTTTTGTAAGTCGAATGAACTCTAACACATGGTACACATATATATATATAGGGTGGGTTGAGTCTCAAAAAGACTCAAAAAAGATCTTTTTAATACATGGGTGGGTGTGTGGGTGTGATTGTGCGTGTGTGTGTGTGTGTGTGTGTGAGTTGCCTGTGGGTAGAGGTTCTTTCTTTATCAACACCCACACGCACACACGACAACCGACGCTCACAGATACCCACACTCATACCGTAAGCCGAATATTTCAGAGATTATGCAAAGAGGGTTCAAATATTTTAAATATCTTTCTGAGACCTTTAAATATCTTTCGCAGTAATTCGAACATTTCGCAAAGATCTTTCATGGTATTTTAAAGAGCTCCCAAAGATCGTTCACATTGTTTGAAAGATTTGTGACGGGTCTTTGATATTATTTCAGAGATCTTTTATACTATTGGAAAAATCTTGCGAAGACGTTTGAAAGATCTATCAAAGAGCTGTCGAAGATCTTTCATGGTTTTTCAAAGATCTTTGACAGATCTCTCATATTATTTCAAAGATCTTTCAGAGACCTTTGAAGGACTTTTCATGACATTTCACAGATGTTTCAAAGAGGTTTCAATCATCTTTCACAGTATTTCAAAGATTTCTCAAAGGTCTTTTGTATTATTTCATTGATTTTTCGTATTATTTGAAGAATTTTGCGAAGACGTTTGAAAGATCTCTTAAAGAGCTTCCCAGGTCAAGCTCGGTACGTCGGAACCAATCGGTTCCGTTGAATTCCGACGATTTCTTTACTATAGGATTCCGGTCCAGATTTCGTCGGACCAGTTCTGATCAGTTTCCATCGTTCCCGTCGATTTCCGACGAATTCTTGGTCGAAATTTTGCGGAACTTAACGGAATTTTTCCGGCGGAAACTGGACCGGAATCCTGTAGTCAAGAAATCGTCAGAAGTCAACGAAGCCGACCGAAAACCAACGGAATCTATAGGATCCGCTGCCGGAAAACAAAGGAAACAAACGGTTCCGGCGATCGTAACACTGGACCTGGGTACGACCGTGTACGATCGAGCATGATTGACCTGGGCTGTGATTGATCGAAAATTAAAGCCCCATCTTCCAATCAGAGAAGCAATACTTCGAGGTTTTATCAAACTTGAACAAAGGTTTTCTGGGACGGAGAACTTGAATCTGAGCACCACTTGCCTCGAAGTCCTATTGGTTGAGCAGTAACCAATAGAAATCAAGTTTTAAGAAAAAGGCTTGCTAAGAGAATTTTGATATCTAGGCATGCTATCATGACTCACCTGTTTACTTTTTGAGGCATACATAACACTCGAATTTAAATCCGAAGTTTCCACATTTATTTAAAATTAGAAGCAAACTCTTCAGAGATTTCAGTTCGTGTTCAACTAACAGATCATTTTGGATTCTTTAAAACTGCTCACTTTGTTTCCCACATAGGTTTCTCTTATCGTGGAAAAATTGAAACGATTAACAGATACTTAGTTGCCTGATTACAATCTTCAATGTTTTGGCTGAACACCAATCGGTTTTTGTAAGCTTGTGTCTCATGAAGTCCTATCCTAGTATGGAAGTATTTCGCATCAATAAATAGAAGAATTTGCATCCTACATATCTAGCATCTTCACATGGTTTAGCCTGAAGAAAATTATTTAAAACCTGTGTGGGTGTGGGTCTGGATGTGGGTGTAGGCCTTGTTGAAGCGAAGATTCATACCCACACCCACACCCCACACCCACCTACATCCACACCCTCAAGTCAATAAAAAAGAACTATAAAAATCTTTTTGAATAAATCATATTAGACAGCATAATACAAAAAATAAGTTTTCGTGAATATTTTCAAAATGTCATAATAATTAATTGGAGAGCAACCAATAAATACAATGTCTTTATAACATCATACCATGGGTAAGACAACAAAAATTAATTATAACATGATTCATATCACCAAAATAAAAGAGTGTACGATAAAAAGAAACATCAAGCGAAATTTCTTTGCTTTTTTTTATTCGGAGAACTAAAAAAGTGTTATATTAATATATTTGTTTAAATCTATCTAATATGACTTTATTCATAAACGATTATTTAAGTCAATGTGTGTGAATCCATTATCAATGCTTTATAAATAAAAAAAAACTTTGCGCTCTGTTTTTTCATTCTATATTATTTAAAAATTATTTCGTGCATTCCAATGAATTCTCATATCAACTGTGACATAGTTATAAATCGAATATGTATTATCTAAAAGAATACTCTCTAGTCCATGTGTGTGTGATAGAATTCGATGATTTTATCTTTGATTTATTTGTTTATAATCATATATAAGATATCGAAGATTTAAATAAATTTGATTCGATTAGAAATAAAGAAAACAAAAGAAAGAAAAAAAAAACAAAGACGAAATAATGTCGTTGACTGCAGTAGAATATAATAATCAAGCTAATAAATATTATTTAAATAATGAATCATTATTATCAATTGAATCGTACAGTGAAGCAATTAAATTAATTGAAAATAATTCCAAAGAAAATCTTCCATTATATTTATTATATTTAAATCGTTCAGCTGCTTATATTCAAGATAAAAATTTTTATTCAGGATATGAAGATGCTAAATATTCATTAAATTTAAAAAACGATAAAAATTTTAAAGCTTTGTATCATGCAGCTATTTGTTTATATCATCTTGGTTTTATTGAAGAATCTCAATTGTTTATTAAAGAAGCTATTGAAGATCATAAAAACAATCTTATTGATTATTTAAATTTAAAATTATTAATAGAAAAAAAAGTTAATACTATGAATAAATGGAGAAAAACTTTAACAGATGCAAAACAATCAATTAAACATCTTCAACATATTATTGAAAAGTAATTTTAATATTAATTTTTCGTTTTTATTCATTTAGTTTTTATTTTATTTTCAAAGAAAAGTTTTAACGTGTGAAATTTCATCAATTCTTTATCATATTCGTTATTTATTACGAGCTTATTTTGACAATGAAAACGATAAAATATTACTAAACATAGATATAGCTGATCTTGGATTGAAATTACAGGAATTAGCTGTTCAATTTAATGCCGTTTTTAATGTTCAAGTATGTTTTTTTTTTTAATATTTATCATTAACTAATATTTCAGTTAGTATGTTCGAATATTAACTGAAATGAAAAAAAAAAGAAAAAAAAACAAAAGAATTTATTTAAATAACTAAGTTTATATTTATAAGAATGAAAATCATTTCTTCTTTCGTTAAATATATATACATATATAGGAAATCTTTAGAGAAAATAGAATAAGAATTTTTTGTTTTTGTCAATAATTACAAATAATTTTTCTTTAAAAATAATCTAATTAATAATAATTTTTGAAAATATAATATGTAGATATTTTGAATTAATTTAATTTTTCCATTAAAATTTATAGAATCAAATAAAGATAATGCTTAATAATAATATTTAAGTTTTTATCTATTAAAATAAAATAAAAAAATTTACTTTCAAACATATTTTATTTCATATCATCAAAAATTTGTTTTTTTTTCTTCACTATTTCATAAGAATTTTTCGTAACTATAATTAAGAAATCTTCCTTAGAAAAATGAATTTTATTTAAAAAAAATTCATTTTTAATTTAATTAAGATTTATTTGTAGAGATACATTGTGCACTACACATTATCAATTTAAATATAATCTAATATCGATACTTTTGAATTACATTTTGAAGTTTTTCACTTTTCGAAAAAGAAATTTAACAATGAATTAAATTTACTGATATTATTATTATTATCGAAAATTTCTATTTTGTTTTCTTTTTGTTATGGCTACACATTGAAAATAATGCACTTAAATCATAGAATAGATTTTCCTAAAAGTTTGGATATTTCATTTAAAACTCATTTCTTGTCAAACTAGATTCTATTTATATTGAAAATTAATCATATAATCAGAATTTATAAGAAAATATTTCTTCAAAAAAATTTGAATAAAAAGAAAAAATTTATTCAACATAATCACATGAAATCATTTCTAAAACAAATGTTAACTGACTTCTTTTTATAGTGAAAGTCTATATTTTTTTTTCTTTTTCAATAGACTATGAATGATGTAAAAATTGTTTGTGATAAGGAGCAAGCTTTGTATATAATCTGTATCAAATAAAAATCTTTGAAATACTCAATGAAGAATTATTTTCATTTAATAAAAATTCATTTTTTCTCTAAGATTTTAACATTATTTGAAGAGCAAAAAAAATGAACATAATAAAGAAATATTTTTATTTGTACAATTAATTACAAGTGATTGTGGAAATCGAATCATTATTTAATTAAATATATTTTTATATAAATAAATTCATCATAATGAATGTTTTTTTTTTTGTGTTATAATTAATTTTAAAAAATTTGTTATCTCAATCGTTCGTTATAGGATTCAAATATGAATCACGATGTAATTGTTGTTTTATTCTATTCCCTAGACTAAAAGGATAGAGTGTAAATGTGAGAAAAGGGCTAGAATAATAAAGATCGGTTTCTCGTTTAAAACGTAAAATTCAAGTTTTTTATTACGAAAAACCAGCTTTTGGAAGAGTAGATTTAGAATCAGGAAGCAGTGGTGTGCATATTTGCCTCCCCTCAGTCTAGGGTTCAGTGAATCGAGAATCGATGAATGTTACTTGTATACTTTGGAATTCATTTATTCAATAATGTTTACTTGATTCTCTTTAACGACCATAATCAAATAATTGATATATTCTCGTAAGATTTTAATGACATATTATCGTGAATCGTGTATTCAAATGTCTCTCGCAATCTATGATCGATTATTAATGATTTTATAACGAAATATTAATTAGAGATAAATTAATTTTTGTCATTCTTTTACTAAATAGTTAATTGATTAATTTGTTTGTCACAGTTTGATGAAGGAATAAGTGCATATATCTATCCTATATATTTCAATACTTATTTTGGATTGTATTTAACAAAAAATTTACAACGAATAGATAAATATATGTTAGATATTAAATAAATGATATAATAATTAAAATTTTATTTTTAGGAATTATTCATGTCTGATCCTTTATTAGAAGATCTTATATTAAATGAAATGCCCGATGTTGGATTATTACGTATTAAAGCTAATGAACAATATAATTTAGAAAATGATAAACGAGATAAAGATTTGAAAGAAAAAGCTGAAAAGGATTTAGCAGCATATGTTAATATTTTAAATATTTTAAAAATTTTTGTTTTTTTATTTTTACTAATTTTTTAGGAATTTTCATTTTTTGTAAATAATATTTTATCATCATTAGTTGTTAATTGTTCTGATGAAAAACTATCAATACGTGCATTAAAACAAATTCATCGTTTAATAACAATTGATTTATATCGCCGATCATTAGATAATACTTTATCAAATGCAATTAATTATATTTATTCACATTCAAATAATTCATTTCTTATTGAAAAACTTATTTTAAATAATGTTATTGAAATTCTTTTTTATGATTATAGTAAATCATCATGTCACATATCTGTATCACATATGATTAAAAATATAACAGTTGATCAATGGAAAAAACAATCATTTAAAACAATTCAATTTGTTTTGAAACAAATTAGTTTAAAAATTCAACGTGAAGGTTTGTTACTTTAGTTTTTTTTTAAATATATTCAATATATATATATATAAAGCTGTTAACGAAATTCCGAATCGTATTCAAATATGAAACACGATGTAGTTCTCTTCAATTATACCAAGGAATTTTTAAAAATCAATCTATGTCGAAGTACATTTTCAAAATATAGTTTTATTGATTATTTGAAAAGTAAAATCAAGAATTATTTTTCATAATGTACTAAAACGTTATTGAAGCATTATTTTTGGTCTTATATTAGCCGAGTCTTTCACAGGCAATGGTTGATTCTCAAGGTATTTGTCATGGATATTAGACGTTTCTGTCACAATATCTGACAAATATTTTATTACTAATTAATCGTGAAACGTCTACCGTTCGAACTATCACTTGTTGCTCACCTAGAATCCATGTGAACTTCATGCTAGTAAAATAAATATAATCTACATAATAAGTGTTACGCTATATGAGTTCTCTACAGTCTGTAGCAGCTCTTCATCATTGCTATTTTCAGTTCTCACTTGACTTGTCTCAGATTCATCGCTTGAATATTGTCCAGTTACAGCATCATCCTTTGAATCATTAGAGTTGTCTTGAAGATCATTAGGCACTTCAGATTCTTATGTATCGTTCTCCAATTTATCTTTTCATTCATCTGATTTTTTTTTTCATCGAAATGTTTGCTGTATTCTTGTAAGTGTTTTTGGTCGATTAAAATTAAATCGTTTGATGAAGGACATTTTCTTGCGTAGAAATGTTTATGTGTAAATACAATTGTTGATGAACAAATAGAACGATGATAAATTTGGAAATATAGGAAGAAATGAGAAAATGAAACATAATTTGAACAAAATAATGCATTACTGATGGTGACAATTTGCTATTGATATGATAAAGATGGTATTCCAGAAAGTAATAGGATTCTTTTTTGAAAACTATTTCAATATTCAACATCAAACGTTCTAAACTCTTTTACATGTTCTAGACCTCACTAGAAACTTCTGGAAGGTTCTTAAGCAAATAGAAAGTTATGAAACATAGAGTTAAAACTCTATTCCTGAAAAATAAGCCAAGTTTAGGAAGAGGGTGTGACGTCTGAGCGGATCCCAGCTGGGCAATAAGTGTTAAATGTTTACTTGAACATATTTATTCATATAAACAACAAATAATGATGAACGATTGACGTTATTAGAATACTCTAATACACTTCATTAGAGCATATCTAGAGAGGCGTGATTTTATCTGACATTGTGTGTGTATAATACTAGAATGAAATTAGTTGGGATCCAAGTGGATCCCTGGTAGGCGTTTCAGGGTTAACTATCACTCTCAAATAGAGTTGTATGGGACCAGTTCCAGTCCTGAGCATCGAGACCAGAACCAAAAAATGTTAGTCATGCACATGTCTGCTCTCAAACTATCCATTAATTACTTATGAATGAATAAGATGTCTGTCACATGTATGGAGCGAGTCACAAATTTTGTAGCCATATAGAGTTGAACATTCCTTTTCGATCGTGTTTGACAAAAAAAAATAATATTTAAATTGTTTAATTATTGTATAGATAGTGATTTACTTGAAGATACATATTTATCAGGTTTTGAACTTAAATTAAGAAAAACTCTGCATGTGGACTCACTGGATGATAATATAAAAGAAAATTTTAATATAATTATAAATGTTTTAACAAAAATTTATATGGCTTTTGGTGATAAACAATTTATTGAACTTTCTTTATATGATCCATTTTATTTATTTATAAATGAAATGTGGTTTAAAACATTTAATTATGAACAATATAGATATAATATTCCATATTTACTTAGTGGTTTTACATCAATAATAACAACATGGTTAAAATTTGATTATTCAGCTCGTCAACTATTTGTTAAACAAATCGATCATCATATTTCAAATAATCGTCAATAAGTAACTGTTTTGGTTTTTTAGATTTATTGCTTAATCAAGATTCTATATTTTGTTTTTTGTTTTCAACATTTAATCAATCAAATAAAGAAATCAAAGAATAAATAATTTAAATATTTTTTGTGAAACTCACATATATTTTCGAAGAAAATAGTGAGTGTAAGTTTTAAGTTCAAGATTTCGCGGCTCCTCCAGTCTTCCTTTATATACAGGCCCCATTAAAGGCACCCCAGTTACAGACCGTAGCAACTTCGCCAAAAAAAGAACAAATGTTTGTTCAAAATATAGAGATAAAAAAGACAGCGTTTTCTGATAATCGAATATTATTGGAAAAGAACTATTATCTTTTGGAGAATTTAAATATTGGGTATTTTGTGATTAATATAATGAAACCAAAGAAGATATGTGAGTTCCACCTTTCAGTCTCAAAGGGGCGGCGCTAACAAGCTTTTTTTGTTTGATGATTGTATTCATTTTATTAATGATTGCATTTTTTAAGTTTCAATTGATTTAAACTGATGCAATTGGTCGTCTTCACTTACTTCGTCTTTTCTTTTTGAAGATAAAACGGTATTAAGATAAAAAACAGAAAGTATTTTAAAATCAATGATATAATTATTATTTAAACAACAAATAAAAATAAAAAGAGTGTAGGTGTGGGTTTGGATGTAACTATGACTTTTAGAGAAGAGAATACTCACACCCACATCCATACCCCACACCCATGCCCTCATTATCAAACGACTACTCGTGAAAGTTCATCACCAGCAGACTAGATTTGAATGACAATGAAGTATCACCAAAAATTAGTCCTCAAGTACTCTGTTCTTTTCTTAAAACTCTAGAAGTAATGAAGTTTTAAGTTTACTTGTTACCTACAAAAGATTGCATGATGATTTGTATTACTGATGCAAAAATGAAAAAATTTGGTTCTTCGTTAAAAACAGATCTTTTTAGGGTAAAAGTAAAACAGAATCTTGAAAGGAAATAATAACATTGTCGAGAGAAACTCTTTAACGGCTATTGGGAATAACGAAAGAAATATATATTTTATAATCAAAATAATGATTCAAAAATAGTCAAGAGAACGCACAAATTTGAATGTAAACAACGGTGGTAGAATGTTTATTCAGTGCTCCTAGTAAGAAGTTTGACATTGAACGATGTTCAAAAGAGCAGTGATCAGTGTTCTATTTCTTTTGTGCAGAATTTTTCTTACCAAAGATGTGTTTAATGCGCCACTTTTTCTCTGAAGAACTTTGCTTGCTCTTCTTTTTATGTGAGACTTTGTCGTCAATCTCATCCTGCGTATTTTCAAGTAGTTCATCGATCATTATCAATACATATTCATCTGCACGACCTTCCAATTGGACTTGCTGCGTTACTTGCCGTAAGATCATTGTTGGATCAGATTCATCGGCATTTGTCGCCGCTGGAGATGATTTGTACTGGATTTTTGTATTTACTTCAGTTTGATTAGGAACCTGGCTGCTTGTTGATGGATCATTTTGAACATCGCTATTCAATTTGCTGAGAGCATCACCTGCTTGCTTCACTATGGTTTGATCTGTATCAGCAAAGGTTTGAATCACATGAAGAAGAAAGAGAACACCACCTTGTTCGACAATAATTGGGTTCATTGAGGACTTTTCAGCAAAGAGACCAATTAATTGACAAGCTGCACTAATGTACGAGTTGACATCAGTCTTCGCTTCCAAAAATGATTCACCAATGGTTATCAAATGTTCAAAAGAAGTCGCCGTAATCGGTTTCGGATTGCTTTTCTTTAAATTTAATAATTCATTCACAGCGTCGCTGATTGCTTGTATATTGCGATGTTCAATTGGTTGGTCCGATTGATATTTCAACGTCAAAAGATGATCTAAAACATTGGGTGGATCGAGATGAATCGGTGATGACTTGATGGTATCGGGCCACAAATCTTCATTGAAATCAGCTCTTTTCGAACCGATGGCTAGACGAACGTATACTTGTGCACAAGAGAGTCGTTCGTCTACGTCCTCATTCCAGGTTTGATAAAGAATATTCGCAAATATTCGTGGAATATATTCATACGAGACGGGTAATTGTTCACCTTCGCAAATCCGACGAATGATTTCTTCGGATGGCTGATTTGCATAAGGTACTTGACTTGTGGCCAATTCCCACATGACTACGCCCAGACTGTAAACATCACTAGCAGCGTTAAACTCACGTCGGTTCATTGTTCGCAAAGTTTCCGGTGCAGACCAAGCTAGAGTGCCAACTGCACCATGAATTTGATCTAATCCAAAATCGTTTACTTTTGCTCGATATTTTCGGCGATCACCACCATAATAATCCAAAAGAATATTCGACGATTTGATATCTTTATGAATAATCGGCGGTGAACAATACGTATGAAGATAGAGAATAGCGTTTGTGATCTGTTTAGCAATAGACCAACGATCGATCCATGTGAATTCTAATTTTTTGTCTCGTAAAATAACATTCAAGGATCCCAAAGGCATCAGTTCACTAAGAACGAGATAACGGTCTGGTTCTTCAATACATGCACCGAGATGTTGTACAATATTTTCATGACGAATACGCGTAAGAATCTCTACGGCTTTGACAAATTCCTCTCGTTCATGTCCTTTCATAGCAGATACCTTCAGCTCTTTGACGACAACTTTCGAGTTGCTCCATCGTCCTTTGTACACGTTACCAGAACTAGCAGTGGAGATCAATTGTTCGAGTATGACTTGACTGTATTGAACATGAACGAAGAGTTTTTCCTCTTCACGCATTTTTTGTCGTTTGTAATCGTCCATTAATGCCTCAAGGTTCTGTTTGTTATTATCGATCAATGATTGGAACATGCGTTCAATATTACCTAGTTGAGCTGTATTTTGTTGTGAATATTTACTTTGTAAGCGAATAATTTTGTCAAAGTTCTTCGATAAAAATTCTCGATCATCACGTCGATCAATGTCATCCTGTTCGCATTTGAAATGATTTTGTACAGCTAAAGCTAAATTTAAATCTGTTGCACATGAATAAAGAGTTTGATTTAATTCATCAAACGTATCTCGATGGCATGCTTGATCATAAACTCGAACAAACCAATTACTCTCAGTAAATTTCTTTATAAATGCATAACAACGTTCAACACAAACGAGTAATCGTTTCAATGCTGCTGTATATTTCGTTGTCAACGATTTTTCCCCGTGTAATTGTTGAATCAATGGAACGAGAACCAAGATTCGATCGTTCAAACGTTGACATCGTTTTCTATTTGCACGAACATTGTCCACAAGAATTTTGATTTTCCAGGCGACATCTGCTATTTTCAACGCGATTTCCATATTGTTGTATGTGACGATAATATCAACGTTAATAGTAATATGAAAGTCACTTGCTGATAAAATATTTGTCAGGCAAAATTCGATAAAGGACGCGAATTTGCATTTTCTACTAAAGAATTGAGTGGTCTATCTCCTTGGTGTGTATGCGTCAGCTTGTCGTTGAAATGAAATCGTATCAAGCAAACAGTGAGAAAGGTGACGCCCACAAGAATTATTTTTTTATATTGAATATATTTTTTCCTTCTTTTGTATTCAAAGAACGTAAACAAAATTTTTCTCCAAGATTTATTCGAAGGACTCTTCAATCATTCTGTCATTGCTCATTTGAATTCGTTATCGTTTCAATGCATCGAACTGACGCAGTTTATTACAAAGTCTAAGCTTCGTGGAGTTGTCAGTTGCTCTATGAAATATGCTTTAGGATATGTATAACGTGTAGATGTTGATATAACATCATCATTGATTGAAGAATGAATTCGAAGATGGCGAAAGGATGTCGTCAGTTTTCATTTCAATTGGATCAATTCTTCTCGATAGATATGAGATCCGAAAGAACACATGCAATAAATAGAATTCATTTTCCATGCCTTTCATTTAATCAAACTGTCAATATATACCAATGATCATATTCCTCTTAATATTCATATAATCCTACATCATATAGATTGAAAGAAACAGTGAACTAAACGTTTAAGCGTTATAATAAAAAAAATAAATTTAACAGATTCGTTTCCTTGTTTGCACCTTTTACTTTGTATTGGTTCTGTTTTAAATTGTTAAAAAGGAGTAAATCATTGTATGGAGTTGGCTGTGGGGGTGGAGGGTAGGGGGGGGGGGGGGGGGTGTCGGTGTGGGTCAGCTTCCATCTGGCACCCACACCCATACATTTACTTTTTCTAGTTTCATATGACTGAATAAAATTCTTCTTATTGTTTTTCTTATAAAAAAATTTCTTTTTCGACGTCGTCCTTTTCTATGTTTTTCATCAAATCCAGTTCTAAAACACTCGTTCGAACAATAAGATGCATTGTTTTCATTTAAATGTTTTGAAAGACAAACTTTGACAGAGTAAAAAATTCATGAAAAACTAGAAATCTATTTAGTATCGCGAATTAGAACATAATAAAGAAAAGTATGTTTTGTTATCAAATTTAGAAATGATATGACTATTCGATCTCATTGTAATATTCGCATTGAAAAATATAAGAGTAGATCTCTCTTACACAAGAGTGTTTGCGTTGTAATTAAAGTATAAAGCAAAAACAAATTATGCAGAAAATAGATTGGCAATTGAAGCGAGCACAATCTAGCTATTTTCATTCAGGTAGTTTTACTTTTCGAGCATCAATCTAAAGAAAGTTATTCGAGTGTAGGTGTGGGTATTCTTTTTATTAATACTCATCCACACCCACACCCACCGTAACCAATATTTTCTCGATGAAATAGATTTTAAAATCAACATAATTATAAATTATTCTGATCAATGAGCGTTCAAAATAAGCAGCAAGAAAAATAATTTAAGCTAATTTGTAAACTTCAATGTCAGATGTGGTAAAATTCAGAGCTCCAGTGAATGTATTATTACCCTTTCCAGTGGTATCGAGATATCCATGAGGGAAATTAGTGTAACTTGAATTGTTCGAATTGCTACCATTTGCCAGATAAATATCGTGGCCGCTTCCAAATGTTGGACCGTAGCCACTGTGATGTTGAACTGCGTTTCCTATGTTACCAGGATTAATGAGGTATTTAGTCGGTGGAATCTCGTGAGGATTGGTCAAAGTGAATAAAAAAGCTGTAGTATCATTCACATATGTAACATTCGAAGTCCATGGAATGGCTGTATAACCTCCAAAAAGATAGTTATTATTTGATTGAATAATTGTCATTGTTGGTCCTTTATTATTACAACGTGAATGAAATGCATTCACATCAAATCCATCACGTGAAGCTTTATAAATCAATTCCCATTGTTGATTAGTCTTACCATAAAATTCATTTAGTTTCTTCTTATGTTCTTTTTGAAGTAATGTTCCATCAGGAAAATACATATCCGTTAATATATCGATTAGAGCATGTAAACGAAAATATTCGGCTTCGATGAAAAGACTACTTAGAAGTGTTGTATCTTTCATAACATTAGGTGGCACCGTATTCGAACGCAAATATTCAAGAATGTACGTAAAGATTTTACCATTTCGATCAATGAATATACTTTTATCATCAGGATCCCTTTCAAGTTGCCATTGTTTAGAGAAGAGTGCAGTGAAGAAAGTATTTTTTTCGCGTGTTAATGTCTCAACACTTGTAGCATATTTATCACCTCCAACATCAAGTATAACTTTGCCTTGAATTGATGTTGTTGCTAATTTAGCTTTGATATCTTTCCATTCTTTTTCTTCATTTGATGCATTAACTAATTTGTTTTCTAAGACGGTAGTCATTTCTGTTGCTTGATGATATAATTGCTTAGCAGATTTAATACAATCACTACATTGATTTAATTTCGAAATGACCTCCTCGCGTAACGTATCGAAACGAGTTTCTAGCTGATTGATGTTTTCTCCAAGAGTGTTTAAATTGGAATCCATTTCGTTTGTCTTTTTAGCCAAATAATTATTTCTATAGTGTCTTATTTATTATTCAAGGTTGGAGAGAAACGATATGATCCTCGTTTCTTATGTTGTGATTGAAATACGTAGATTAGACGCGACAAATAAACCAAGTTGAGAAGAGAGAAAAACATCAAGAACACATTGCATGATTTTTATTTCTCTGCATTGATGCAATTACTTGAGGAACCATGCAGCTTGTTCTTCCTTCCATCGCTTTTCAAATTGAATATTAAAAACAATGCATAGACAATTAGAATTTATGCGTTTTGTCAATAAAAAAATAAATTCCGTTGAATTCAATATTTTTTGAGTTGTGTTTTTGTTTTTATCATTTCATGAGCTTCAAGAAAAATCTTCATCATCAAAGGAAATGCTCACTTATGAAGTTTTGGAATAAGTTTTTCAGCTAATGATATTAAGTAAAAGAGCTTCTGCAAAACTGTGTATGGTATAAATATGCATGTATTATTTCAAAGACATATAAAAGTTATCAATATAAATTTACTAGAAAAGTAAATGAACTAAAAATATAATTTATGAATATGTATATGTTAGTTGATGGCTCGATAAACCATTTTTTTTCTTATGATTTCAATTAATTAATGTAAAACTACAATGATTATTTCACAAGATTGGTAGAGTAAAAGAAGGAAGGGCCGATAATTGATGAAATCAGCCTTCTATGAAAGTTGGTTTCTGTTATGTCCAGCTCACATTCAAATTTTATGATTTTATTGCTAATATTCAGTAGGCTTCGATTAGAAAAATACAAATTGAATAAAAACTAATCTGATCTTTTGAATCAGGGTCCAAAGATGAGTGGATTGATGTATACTTGAAAAAATTTTGCAACATTTACTTCTCGTCCCTTGAGGAGGATGTCAAAAAAGTATATCATTGAAAAATTATTTTGAAAGTGGAAATCTCGTTTTAAGGTTTATAAAAACGATAGTAGAACTGTAATAGCAGATGAATGAAGAGTAAAGACAGAATTTTTCACGAAATTCAGTTTTTTTTTGATTCACCACTTAGAAGAAATTACGAATGAATTTTTGAGGAAAAACCAAGCTTGCGAACATTTTAAAAATGCAAAGAAGTTCACACAGATTTCACTGTTGGTCTAGAATATCATGTTAGTCGTATTTACATCGTATTTTTTAATTGAAATCTACTAGATATTAGGCAACAACATCATATCTTGATAATAGTCTTCTTCAGATAGTTTTGTGTGGTTAATACTTTTTCCTTGGTGTTTTTATAGCATTTTGAACTGCTTGAAAAGTTCCATCGAACCCTTTGAAAATAGTTGGGTCACCCATCAGATAAGTAATAAAAAGTACTGATTATCATCTATAGTTGAGTTCAATGTACATATGATCGTTATTGGTGATTTACATCGGTCTATCCACAATACAAATAACTGCCCACATGACTATTTATACCAATGCTTACTTTCGGACAGCTTGTATGATAGTTTTACATAGAAAAAATCAAATTTTCCGAGGATAGTATTTTCAACAATTATCGATAGATCTCAGTTATAACATCAACAATTGCGTTAGAGTATTACATAATAACAGATTTGCTTAGTCATAACCTTGTTCTCGTTTTGAATTATGGGACTCACTGTGGCAAGAATGACCATCGATGATAACTTCTCTATGTTTGAAGTAGACGAATTCAAGCTAGTTTTATTGACCTATATTTCTAAGGTAGAATATTTGCTAAAAAGTTCATATGTATACTACTAAGTATGGCGAAGATATCAGGATAAGATTCTGTTAATCCATCGTGTATTTCTTCATAAAGTTCAATAGTGTTGATTCTACACAGTATCTATTTGACATTTTTCTCATGAATAAAAACGTTGACAAGTCATCTATCATGAAGAAAAATATTAATGACGATATTCAATCTATCGTCAAATCATTTATGAGCCATTTTAGAAAATTGTCATTGATGAAGCTTTTTTATTTTTATGCTTATTGAATAGGGTCGGAGAGTATGGATGTGAATGAATGTTGATAAAAAGAATACCCACACCTACACTCATAATTACAAGATAAGATAATAATATCATCAATAATAAACAAACGACAATACTGAGTTTTATTTCAAATGAATGCTTCTCTTCTTTTGAATTTATATCTTAAAAGACATGACATGATAAAATTAAATTAAAACAAAATAAGTTGTGTTCCAGGATTTCTCATGGGATGGGATGGGAATCCATCTCTATCAAATATCTTTTAAAAACTTTGAACACATCTATCATTTTCATTAGTACTCACTCAATTGTATATCATTTTATTTTATATTTGATAATTTTATTATAACGAAGTTCATATTTCTTTTACTTATTTTAAGAATGGAACAACGCAATGAATTCTCTCTATAAATATAAACTGTTTCTTATTTCATTTGAGTTCCATCTCCATTTATCGATGAAGATCTTTTTCTTGTACTAGGAGATAACTTTTGAGCACAGCTATGTATGTTGAATATTCGTTTATCAAGACTCGATGTAAATTTATACGACTGAAAATATGATTGATAACTGACAATGCCTGGAATAGATTCAAGGCCTCCTTCTATACATGATTTGTTGGCTGGAAAATCAAAAACCTGTCGAAAATTCGAAGATAATTTCTTCTTTGTGTTTTTAATGACTCAATAATTCGATGAATCTTTTCCTAGTAAACGAGTAGTTTGTTTAGTTGTAAATTTATGAACAGCTGATGCACAATCAACAATAAGAGATGAAGATCAAGTGATTATAGAAAAAGACGAAACAGTGACCGAGCTTATTAAATCAAGTCGATCACATCAATATTGAACAAAAGACGATGAGTTGTCCGAAGACATACTATTGATTTTAAGTAGAAGCAGAATCAAATCATTTGTTAGCATTACAACAGATCGAAGTGCTTTTTTACTTTTTATGTTGATTGATTGTTATTTGTCTTGTCGAATTCCGATGGATACAGTACTTAACTAGAGAAATTAAAAAAAACATGTGTAAAATATGTTTGGCCTATGGGATAGACAATTTTCAAAACCTTACATAGGATGAGACGAGATATTTCTCTAAATATATTTCGTCCCATGGATGGGATGATGCCAAAAGTTTCCTGTCCTATCCCATGATACTTTTTTTCAAAAGAATTGCATCCCATCAGACCGATGAGAAAGGATTGTGCTATCCCAGGCGCAATTCTGTTCTGTTGAATAGATAGCATGTAATTTTATCTTTATCCAAAGTTCTATCTGACTATTCCACTCAATCATGCATGAAAATCTTTTAAAACATAATCTCGGTGATTAGGATAGTAACTAACATTGAAATTCAATCGTATCGTCTATCTGTACGAGCGAATTCTTAAATTTTGCTTTTTAATTTTATGTCTATGGAAGTAAGTGAAACAATTCAAGAATCAATTTCTATAAGTTGATTCATTTTCGAATCAATTAATCAATGATAACGACTAAATCCATATTGTTTATAAAATAATTAGAGGTTTTTCATTTTATAGCAATTTCTTACAGTCAATAGAGAAGATATGAATTGTGTTAATATCATTGATGTAATATTTAAAAGACGGTTTCTTATATTCAAATTTCTGATTAGCCGGACTAAATGGAAATTGATTGTGCAGAGTATTTTCAAACAAGAAAACAAACACGCATTTTTTTAATTTTATTAGACATCAATCACAATATTTTCTGGATGATACACACTTTAGGATCATAATAGTCATAAAGGAGTTCTTCTTCATCAATGAGCGTTCAGAATAAGCAGCAAGAACAATAGTTTAAGCTAATTTGTAAACTTCAATGTCAGATGTGGTAAAATTCCGAGCTCCAGTGAATGTATTATTACCCTTTCCAGTTGTGTCGACGTATCCCGAAGGAAAACCAATGTAGCTTGAATTGTTCGAATTGCTAACATTTGCCAAATAAATATCGTGGCCGCTTCCAAATGTTGGACCATAGGCACTGTGATGATAAACGGCACTTCCTATGTTACCAGGATTAATGAGGTATTTAGTTGGTGAGATATCATGAGGATTGGTCAAAGTGAATAAAAAAGCTGTAGTATCATTCACATATGTAACATTCGAAGTCCATGGAATGGCTGTATAACCTCCAAAAAGATAGTTGTTATTTGATTGAATAATTGTCATTGTTGGTCCTTTATTATTACAACGTGAATGAAATGCATTTGCATCAAATCCATCACGTGAAGCTTTATAAATCAATTCCCATTGTTGATTAGTCTTACCATAAAATTCATTTAGTTTCTTCTTATGTTCTTTTTGAAGTAATGTTCCATCAGGAAAATACATATCCGTTAATATATCGATTAGAGCATGTAAACGAAAATATTCGGCTTCGATAAAAAGACTACTTAGAAGTGTTTCATCCTTCATAACATTAGATGGCACTATATTTGTACGCAAATATTCAAGAATATATGTAAAGATTTTACCATTTCGATCAATGAATATACTTTTATCATCAGGATCCCTTTCAAGTTGCCATTGTTTAGAGAAGAGTGCAGTGAAGAAAGTATTTTTTTCTCGTGTTAATGTCTCAACACTCGTAGAAAATTTATCACCTCCAACATCAAGTATAACTTTACCTTGAATTGATGTTGTTGCTAATTTAGTTTTGATATCTTTCCATTCTTTTTTCTTCATTTGATGCATTAACTAATTTGTTTTCTAAGACGGTAGTCATTTCTGTTGCTTGATGATATAATTGCTTAGCAGATTTAATACAATCACTACATTGATTTAATTTCGAAATGACCTCCTCACGTATCGTATTGAATCGAGTTTCCAGTTGATTGACATCTTCTCGAAGAGTGTTTAAATTGGAATCAGGTAGCCCTTTTTGGTTGGCCATAATTAATTTTTAAATTTAGCGTTTTGTTTCTTGTTACGTTTATGACTGAAGCCGTCTGAAAACTTGGCTGTCCTTTTTATGATTTTATCAAGTATCATGATGCATGTGTATAAAAGAAGGCATACCATCGTTAAGAGTATGAAAAAGAAAACTTCCAATGATTCATAGACTGTCAATATTTACCTGTATCGTTTCTTCTCACGTATCTTTTCAAGACTTTGCAGCCTCTTGCAGTCTTTTCTTTTTTCATCTGAAAAACCCAGTTGATGTGTTGTTTCTGCTGAAAACTCCATCTGTACTCTTTCAGTCATATTTGTTGCTCGCGAATATAACATCAAAAATTGATACTTTTTTATTTATGCAGCACAAACAAAACATTATACATTCGTTAAATTTGTGCAGTTAATTCTCATCAGTCTATATTGAATATGAACCAAATTTGTAGAAGATTCATGAAGGAATTAGTAAACTTACTTGAAGAATAATAATATCAAATTTAGTTGACTCATGTTAATGAAGAAGTAATTGATTATATTGAAATCATATCGTGTTTCGTGCTAGTACATTTTTCATAAACGAAGTAAAAAAAATAAAGTCGGCAGTTTTATCTAAACAAAGATAGATACCATAAAAAAACGACATAGACGTAGAAATACTTTAAGCAACAGTTCGATATAATTCCAATTTAATACTAACCAATCTGCAAGTCTCATTTTTTTTTCTTTCAGATCTGATTAACTATGATCAATTTTGTAAAAAAAAATCTAGTGTTGAAAAACGATAAAATTTATTTTGATATGAAATTAAATATCATTCAAACGTTTTGATGATTTATTGCGCATCATCTGAGAAACTATCGATGTAGTTCTGGCTCATATTGTAAGATCATATATTCGAGCGATTGTTTTCTCGCTCTCCACTACTGAAGACTTTATTTTCTTACATATTATCATAAGAAAGAGTTTTTAAAGTAATTTAGACTTAAACATAAAATGAAATTTTCTCAAATGAATTCAAATAGCTTGAAAACACCATCTGACCTGAGTATCATAGCTGAGAAATTTGTAATACAGGCAGAATTGACTTTTTTCCTTTTGGCAAAGAAGTTGAATGGAAAACAACTCTTGGCTGAAAAATGAGATTTTCCAGAGCTCTTTTTTTTAAGGGCTAGTATTTATTTGAGCAATAATTTTTGAGCAATAAGAAAACTATCTTTGAGCAATTTTATAATATTAAATGTCCAATAATTAATTCATTAAATAGCAGTAGTAATTTCATATTTTAGCAACAACAAAAAGGAAACGTAAGGTATTTTTATTTACAATTGACAATAAGAAAAGAAAAACGAAAAATTAATATATTATTGTGTCAATAAAGTTTTGCTTGCTTGAGCTGGTCTCCCTCCTTTTCTTTCAGTATCAATATTCACATCTTTTGCCTATGGTGGGGATTTGCACCATTACCTTTACCCTGTTATCAAGAGACCAGCTCCATATCATTGTCACTTTCACTATCAGAAATGTGCGGCGCTACGCGTTGTGATTGAACCATTTATACAAATTATATATTTTATTTTATAGATGGAAAAAAATACGTATTTGTATAAATAAATTCTTAACATAAGAGTTTTCCCATCCACTATTGGAATTGTTCTGTTAATCATCTTGAGAATTTACTTATGATTATCTTACACAATATATGGGATTTTTCCAACACTTTTGATATTTATGTAATATATATCAATGTTCTCTTCTATGGAAGATCAGCTATTCAATTCTATTGTCTTCTCAACCTCATTGTTCTTTCTACGTTTTTTCTCATATACCACGTTTCAAGTGTATACGAAATAAATCGAACTCACGTAAACACATAACAGCAAAAACGATACAATTTACATAAATGAATTCGTATTGCCCTTTTTATGTGAAATTTATCTTTAATTTAAATAAACTATTGCTCATTCAATATAATTGTTGCTCATTCAATATAATTATTGCTCATTTTAATTATTTTATTGCTCAATTAAATATCAGTCAAAATAAAATCGAGCAAGTAACGAATGAGAATCTGAATTAACTGATGTTTATATTTATCTAAGACTGAAATCGTTTTGCTTTATTTCATAGTCAAGAGGTTTTACTGTAAAAACTAAGCGACTTGCGATACTAAAAGGTATAATTAGCAGAATCTCTTGGCTTCGCAATCTGTATAGAATCTAATTAGACAGATACCATTTCAAGAGTTATATCAAGCTATAGGTAGCCAAGAGAAGGAAAATACGAGTTCATGAAAAATTGAATTTTGCAAATACAGATTTGACAGCTATTAGATAGAAGAGCAATAATCCAGCACGTTGAAAAAATGTGAAGGTTTTTCACAAAAGCATAGTTATCTTTAAGTTATAAAAAAAGTGTTGATATTATTGTCGAATAGATCATATTGCTTTCATATCTAGTTGATGATTGAGACGATGAAAAACTACTATTGCTACTTGAAGTACCATATGCAGAACGATTTGCTGCATTATTAACTGCATTTATGAAATTATTCATGACATTTTGACCTGTGGAAATCTCATCAAAAATATTTCATTGAAAATAATAATCACTAACCATATCGTTTAGCATCATTCATATTTCGACCTATAAAATTTCCAACATATTCTTATTTTTATTTTTGAAATAAAACATACTAATTAATAATAATCACATATCTCCGCTCAGAAGGTCTGTAAAACGAAACCCTTGTAGTGTAATTAATAACTCATTGTGGTCTATCGTTTGAGCAAGCAATCGGTTAAAAAGCGATTTGACAGTTGGAGACCGTCCCTCGTTAACTGACTTTGAATTGAAAAATCCCGAGATCGAGTTCGTTGACTAATGTAAGTCAAGTATTTTCGATAATCGTCGTTCGCACATGATAGAATAGATATTGACAAAGCAACTAGAATCACAAAAACAAACAACTGTGAACTCATAAAATCAAATGTTACCTATTCATTCACTATAATCTCGATTAGATATGAGTTTTATGAAAATATTTCAGACTTCAATGATTATTGCTTGTGTCTGGCAAAAAGTTTTCAAACTCAAAGTATGAATATTTTCGAAAGATTTGATCTTCGTTGAAAAGCTTAGCAATCGTGAACAAATTTCGGTTCTGTGATGAAAAAGAAATGCGTTTGAAAGAAATGGTCGTTGTCATTGTAGATTTTTTTCGAGTATTTTTCATAAAATTTGCATTAAAATACGTTCCAATTAATGTTGATAAATCTGCTGAGTACAGAGATAGACCGTCACAACAACATGAGAATCAATCATTTGACGATTCATCTATGCTCACATCATTTTTCATACAAAAGAATCGATGAAGATCATTGTAAAACTGCTAATGATATTTTACAGATTCGAACATCGTTGTGAAATAAAAATTTCTAACTACTAACTACATCATCATTAATGATGTGTGTGCATCATATTGTATGAATCATTTCAACAATAAACTCTTGACATTTTCTAGTCATCTCTCTTCAATAAAATCTTGATATTTTGAGTGTATAATGAAGTTGTACCCTTTACCTCTGAATTATTCTAAATGACTAACAAATAAAGACAAACGCCTACTTCTCGAAATAAACTAGGAAAAACGATCCAAGTGTACTTAGTACTAATAAGTCGATCAATCATTCTTATTTATTTATTTTTATTTCGATTGATTTTTAATTCTTTCAAAAATTCTACAAAGCATTGTCGCATCAGTTTGATTCACTATTCAAGATGAATCATAGTTATATCCATGTAGCAGTGTAATGATTTTCTTTTACTAGAAAATTACGAAAAAGTGCTATGATTAAAAAATAGTAATTGAGATGTAGAACTGAGTGCATTTCATGAATTTTTTAATTTACGACTTCTTTTTCGAAGGCCTGACATCAAGTAATGCCAAACAAATAGGAATGAGTAATAGTACTACTGTTTGTGCATATGTATCATTCACTGCCTCTATTCGTAGCATGTCTCATAATCGAACAAAAAGTACATTCTTTTTCTTTTGTGTTCTTCCTTGTCTTCTAACGTTGCAACACACATATAAATAAGCGAACAGAAACGGTATGTTTAGTACACAAAAATCTAACACATAAACATGATCAAACTCGTCATTTTTATTACATTTGTAAGTTACTTTGAATTTGATTAATGTTAACATCTTCATCAGCATCCTTCTGTGTTTTAGATTTGCTTTGGTCTTGTTGCAACTCGTAGACCTTTTGGTAGAGGAAATCACAACAGTGATGGTGATCGTTTTTCGTCGGGTGGTGATATCAATCGATGGGCATCAAAATTATGTGTTAATAGTAGTTTGGCTCAATTGTTTCTTACCCAAACTCGAGCACTCATCACACAGTTGAGTTCGAATAGTTCATATGCACAAGTGCTTCAACAAAAAGCACAACAAATAGCTTACATACAAAATGATACCAATGGAGCTCTTCTCTCATCGAACTGTACACAATATTTCAATGGTCTTGCAACTGCACGAAATGCTGATATGAAGATACAGCGTCAACAAAAAGAATATCAAAAGATTGTTAATCGTCTCTTCAAACAAATCATTGCATCTCTCTGGAGTAATGGTTATAGCAGCAGTGAAGACGACTAAAACATACTGTTTGTTTTAGTTTCTCAATTAAACTATAAATTGTATTCTATATTTATACAAGCTATGATTTTCTTTGGTAAAAAGAAAACATTGAAATAAATTCGAACTATTATGTAAAATTATATCATTTGTCATTCGTTTGAGACAAAAACTGTGTTATATTCGAATAGTGATGCTTTGTGTTTCTCAAGGCTTATCATGATTTCCTGAATATTCATCATAAGAGCAACGATTCATTCTTCTCTGTACATCCATATTTTTTTAGGTATCGACATAAAAGAAAATGTCAATTTATATTGAATTAACTATGATCGAATTCACAAATACGATTTAAGTTTCCATCAAGATCTACTCAACTATATTCTTCATGTGTTAAAAGATTCACACATGTTCATAATTAGCAGTAAATTCTCTATAGTAGATACTTTTCGAATTTTTCAAGTGTTTCACTAAAGAACGATTAAGTCTATTCCAAAAGTTATTGCTGTTTTTCAACGTTCTCTTTGTTGCAAAGTATATTCAATTGCCTAGATCACTTATGTCGATTAGACGATAATTGACTGTACGAGTACTCGAATAATTCTGACTAATAATTGATGTGGATCTGACTTTTAAGAGTTTTCTCTTAGTGGAACTATAGTGCATTTATCATCAATGCGATAATCCTATTCATTCAAATAAATATAGCTATCAGCTTTGATGCAATCATGGCTATTGCGAAAAATATTTTATTCAACATTTTCGCCTACTACAACTCTAAACAGTTACATATTGATTATGATTTTAAAGCAATATCAGTACAAGAAGGATGACTAGATATATTAGCTTCTTCATCTACATCATTGCCTCTCCATATATATATTGAGCATCGACATGATAAAAGCAAGAATTTCGATCAGTAGACGACATTTCATACTGCATAGACTAGTAAATTTTCATAGATCATTAGTAGATATATCAAAATGAGCACCTATGATAAAAATGGGCAAAAAAGTACGAATCCATTGTTGACTAATATTAGATTCATTACTAAAATTTCACACTACTACATTGTTTCCTTATTCACTATCAAGATGATGACATACAAATCGGGAATGTCTTCACTGTAAATAATACATCTAATCGTTGTTTGTCGTCACTACCAGATATGCCTAAATTTTCTGTTTAGAACAAACATGTTTTATTTCCTTCTTCTCGTCTACTGTCGACTGACATGTTTTTCAATTGCCATAACCCGTTCGACTTTTCTATTATTTTTCTGAATGTTATCTAGAGAATAATGAACTCGTTTTGTGAAGCTATTGTGACAATATTGAAATAGTATTAAAGTGTCATAAAGAAAAGCAAAAAATAGTAGTAACACCCGTAGATGAAATGTTCAAAATCAGCTTTTACTAGCCTTGTTTTGATTATAAATTCATACGTTAATTTGAATGTACGATCTATACTCAACCAGAAAAAATATGTCAACCATTGCATACATACCCCATCTACTCTACTGATGGCGCCATCTTGAATGCTTAACGAAGCCAGATCAAATATGATTCCAAAGCACATAGACTCTCAAGAAATCTCATATGTATTCATGATGGTCAATACTAGGTTGAAACGATTCCCTTGAAGAAGGATTCGTTGTTGTTTCTTCAAATCCGTCGAGTTCATCATATTATTGGATTGTTTTTATTATCTACGATCGTATCGTTGCAATTGACTATCATACGACAGTGCATTCGCGAGTGTATTTTGTATTATTGCTGATAACCGAACAGGTAAGTGACTTGATTTTTATTGGTAAACAGGCCATTCTTCATTCACACCAGATATCATCTTATCACGGAGAGACTTATCTAGTTAAAGTGAATCGGCATTCGACCTTAATTCTGTATATTTGAAAAGTCTAATTATTACTTTCTTTCTACGGAAAACGACGAATTTGATCTACTCGTACCCTTTTCAGATTTTATGCCGTTTCAGCATTCTCGATCTTTTACATTCAATCAAAAGAGTCAAGGACGAACTAAACAGATTCAATAGGTTTTTTTGTAGGATGTATTTGAGAAACAAAGCAGATTAGACAAGATCATTACGTTTGAAATTGAAAGAAAAAGGGTCACATGACATTTGATGATTCATCCTATTCATATGTGCAAGCAATCGTTCTACAAAAATTCATTGATTAACACTATCTATAAACTAGTCTCGCTTACCTAGCAGAGCGAGATATTTTGCGAGCGTCTATCAAAACATGTCTGTTTGCATGTTGTTTTTTTTTTGTTTTCCCTGAACACCTTCTTACAGTCGTTGCACGTGTGTTTGTCGATTCAAGGAAGAGAAAAAGGTATTTTTTTTCTTTGCAGTGCTGCACATTTACCACGCAGCGCAATCGTCACATCTTTTCATATTACTAATTATTTGCGCTTTCAACATACATAATGATAGCTGGTGCACACTGGGACAGCAATAAACAGACAGCTGTTTGGCTCGATGCTACTGTATTCAGCCCTGATAATACAAAGGCACAAGAACAACTAAGAGCTAAATATCCGGATTTTTGGCCATTCATAGATAAAGACGAATGTCACAGATTTATCCAGCGATCTTCAAATCCTCTCATTCTGATTGTTAGTGGTGCATTGGGTGCAAAGCTCGTTCCTGAAATTCATCAATCTGATCAAGTTTCCTCGATCTATGTTTATTGTGGAAATGTAGCTGCACACAAACAGTGGGCAGATGATTATAAGGATAAAGTAAAGTAGACTCTATGGTATTCTTCTTTGTCAATAATAATATTGTCTGAATAGGTCAAACTCGTCACCAATGATTTCAACACTCTTCTTTCTCAAATTTGATCAAATAACAAAATATTAATAACTAGAAGTTTATCGATCGGCCTATGTGTGAGAGAAAACAAAAGGAAGAATTCAATGATCAACTTAGTTTTAGTTTTGATTGTTTATCGATCGTCGATTCAGATTGAATTCATGAAGATCGACTATGGAACGAAGATGTTCGACACAAGTTATGTTTTTTTTTGCTTTTCCTAGACCAAACTCTAACATTTATTAGAAGGTCGATAGTTCCTTAATATCTATAGTTTTTTTTTCTGCAGCATATTTCAAAATCTTTTTACTTTCATAGCAATGTTTCTTTTTTTTTGTTGAAATCACATGAATTCATATTTTCAATGAAAAATTATATCATTATTTAAGTGCTTGTTTTGCTGATGAACAATCTATACGTGTTTATTTGATTAATTTTAAATATTTATTTCAAGATTGATAGATAAATAATATGGCGAGTAGTTTAGCTGAAATGACTCTTTTTAAACTACAACATTGTGATTTTATTTGTTTTCGCTGATTCTAAGTTAAATGTGTGATTTTAGAACGAATCTAATGTTTTTTTTTCAAGATCACCAGAAAAAAACGAATTGAAACGATCTTGAGAAGAGACTCAGGTACTAGAGCAAAAATGCAAAACATGATGACATCAGAGGAGACTTTCTTCTCTCAATTTGATAAAAGTTACTTTTTCCGCGAATAGAAATGCTCAACAGTTACGAATGGAGTGGGACTCTGTTCTGCAAAGCAGTATATGCCAAAGTAGGTTTAAACAAAATAAGGTAGGGCAAAAATAGAGCCTGATGGCAATCTTCGGTTGATCATTTACAATATTGCTTCTAGTTTCGCTCAGCAGACCAGTCGCGTAATAAACATTAATGAATTGATTACAGAGTACGAGTAATGCAGACCATCAGTCTTATTTACTTCTTCTAATATCGAAATGAGAGCATAAAAATATATTTTTCAATCATATTTGCTATACGTTAAAACATATGTCAAGAATGCAGAGAATATTAAATACAGACAATGTCAACAGTAGATGCGTTGGTTAGGTGAAGTTCACTGACTGAATATTTGCCTGCAAAACAACGGTGCAGATTATTAGATGGAACACGCTCGCAATAACATCACCTATTCCGAATGACGAAAGTCATAGCTCTTCATCTTTTTTTCCTATGAAAAATTACTCAAAAATTACTCATCCTGTATCTATATTGAAATGGGTCATATTGATTCATAAGAAACAAGAAATAAGCTGTCTTTGACATCAGGATATAACGGAACATCATCTCAATCAAGGCAACCGAACGGTTTGATGTTTTTTGAACATCCATCAGAATTGTTTGCATGAATCGAAAAATACTTGGATTCGGTACACTTTACCAAGAAGTTGTAGCTACTAACGCCTACCACTTTTTGATCCATTCTAATAATTCTGATAGCTGATGTAAAAAGAAAAATAATAAACGTTGGATTATATCAATTTGAACTCTTTTTTTTTTACATGACCATTGTCGAAACTTTCATTCTTGTCGATGACGGTTCATGTCAAAGCATCAAGTCAATGTGTACAATAAAGAAAAAAAATAAACGAAAAGCAGACATCTTACTACGCCCAAAATGAAGAATACGCAAGCAATAGCTACCACTTGTTCATCATCGAATGGCAGGCTTGATTCTTAATATTCGCGAGAAAATTATATTGAGAGAACATCTTAACTATATTATTGAAGCGTGACAATGCTCTAATTGGAAGTCGAGATACATATCAATACTAAGAAAACTTTGATTCTTCTTTCAGTACATAATGAAAACAGATAGTTAATTACTCGATGACTGTTCTAGTTCTTCTGGTGAATAGTCGAGACGAAAAATAATAATTACCAACCGCTCATCAAATATTGAAAAAGCAAATAACTCATTTTTGTACTAAATTCAAACATAATTAGATCTCATTTTTTTTGACAGAATGAATTCAATTGAAAGAAATTCAAGCATGCCATGAGCCATTAAATAATTTCTTCACTGAAGACTATTTCTCATGATTTTCTTCTTTATTTCAAACAATGAAAGAATGTGAGAACAAATATATGACAAATCGATAGTCGAAAGTCAAATATACAGTATTAATAAGGTTTTTATTTTATTTTTTTGTTCGTTTGGCTCTGCAACGATAACAATTGAATAAAATTATGTGTAAAAGCTGCTCTGAGGCAAGACAACATTGTATTTGACATTCAAATAGACCTGCATTGTGTATACATAATAATTGATTCAATATGATACATACTTTAAATTGGTCCATTCTAGGCATATATAACAAAATTCGTCGGTCCTAAACTATACATCAATCGATCTGACAAAACCTTCAAAATTTTGTTTTTCATTAAAAAATCAAAATCAATGCTGATCATTCGTCCATATTTTCTTACCATTCTTCTTTTCATAATCCAATTCACGTTTTGTTTTCTCTTTGGTTTTCATGCTCGATATATTTATGCACCAGTTTCTTCTTCTGCTGGCAATCTAACATTGTCTCAAGTGAGTATCATTGAACCACCACGTGGTATTGTCGAATATTACTATGCAATGTTTACTGATATTCATGTAATGATGTTTGTTGGTTTTGGCTTTCTAATGACTTTCTTATATCGTTATTCTTATTCGGCAATAGCATTCAATTTTGTTCTCTGTGCATTTACATTTGAATGGGCTTTGCTCATGCGTGGCTATTTTTTTGATTGGCAAATCGTTGAAAAAAAATTTGTACTTGATATCAAAAGTTTAATAACAGCTGATTTTGTTTCTGTAAGTATATTGATTTCGATGGGTGCAGTACTGGGAAAAGTCAATGCATTTCAATTGATACTTATGGCATTTTGTGAAGTACCAGTACAAGTGATCAATGAGTGGATAGGTTCAAAATTGTTTTGTGCTAATGATAGAGGTGAATCGATGTTTGTTCATGTATTCGGTGAGTCGAGAAGACTACCTACTATAGATATTTTAGGGTAAAACAATTTTTCTATTGCTATTTCAGGTGCCTATTTTGGTCTAGCCGTTACTTTTGTACTTTTTCGTTCGGATATGCGTGATTCTCCTAATGAAAAATCTCGTTATACATCAGATATTTTTACGATGATTGGTACCATTTTTCTCTTCTGTTTTTGGCCATCATTCAATGGTGCTACTGCTGCCGGTCCCGAACGTCTTCGTGCAGTGATCAATACTTGTGTGTCGATTTGTTCTTCTGTTATTGGTACTTTTATAGCATCATCTCTTATTCGACATGGTAAACTCGATATGGTTCATGTTCAAAGGTCTACTCTTGCCGGTGGCGTAGCAGTAGGTACTGTTGCTTCATCAAATATAGGTCTACATGGTGCCATGATCATTGGTACATTAGCTGGTTTTATATCAACACTTGGTTTTTTTGCTGTATTACCTAAACTGGAACTTATTCGTATACATGATACATGTGGTGTTCATTACTTACACGGAATACCAGGTATTATGGCTGGTATTACAGGCATTATTGTAGCTTCGATCCCGGAACGATCAGGTTTTCAAGATCATTTAACTAATTTATGTCTAACAGGTGGTCTACAACGTTCCAGTAATATTCAAGCAGCCTATCAAACAGCTGCACTTACACTCACGTTGGCTATGGCTATTATCAGTGGGCTTTTTACTGGAGCACTATTACGATTGCCTATATTTGCCCAGATGTCACAGTATTTTGATGATGAAGTCAATTGGCATATGTCCGAAGAAACGCAAAGCTTTAAATTATGAACATCTAGACGCTTATGAACTGGTTTCAAATAAAAATTTAGATAGTGGGTCAAAATCTTCTTTTCTTAAATTTCGAAGTTTGTGTTTTTTTCAAGTGTATTTTCTATACAAAACATAAGTAACGGAATATATTAGATTAGTATGTGCTTAACATGAGTCACTATCGACTTATAACAATTGACATGAAAACTAATATTCAGTCTTGAGGGTGTAGATGTTGGTGTAAGTCTAAGCTTTACTCACGTCTACACATCCATACCGAGAAATAAACATGCCATCGGAGAACAATCAAATATAACAACGAAGAGTCATTTTAGTCATGTTTACTTGTAAATTATTGATAATTATTTTTCTTGTCTCCATTTAACATGAATATAACATAGTCACAATTTTCCAAGTTTTTACATTTATGAAGTTCGAATGTAGACGTAGCATTTAAATCTACTACTATAACTACGTCTCGATATATATGCTGTCCTCTTATACCATCTTGCTCATACATGTTGTTCTTCAAAGAAGATAAACAGAGTGTTAGTGTGAGTATTAGTATTATGGTGATCTACATTCACACTCGAAAAATAAATGCCAGTTTTCTTTTTATACACAAAAGAAATAAATTGAAGCAAGTAGTTTGACAAGTGCTTATTAGAAAAGCATTCTTAGAAAATCAAGAATCGCGTTTCAATAAATTCGAATTTTTTTTTCGTTTCTTTATTCGAATATAATGAAATAAAATATCTTAAGATTCGAATTGATTTTCATCTAATTTAATTCGTTTACGATTATCTCTGATGGGATTTATTTTCTTTCCAATCCATATAATATTACATCCAGCATGTCTTTGAATTGTTGAATCAATAGTATGTTGATTAAACCAATGAATGACTTCTTGAGATAGTTTCAAACGTAGTATTTCAAATTGTACAACTGAAAGTTTTTGACATCGTTTCAAAATGAATTCGATTTGATCTAATTGATAAATTGGTATTTGTAAATGTTTAATTTGACGTGGAATTATTGAGCATATATGATTTAGAAATGGATACAATCGTTGTTTACAATAACGACTATGAATAATCAAAGATGAAAGAGAAAATGCTTGTTCAAGAATAGAAATAATATTAAATAAAAGATTTTGATTATTTTTATTGAAATAAAAACTTTCTAATGTGACTTCAACTAATTTTGAAACATCGATGACTGAAGTCAGCAATTCTAATGAATCCAAAGAATGTTGACTATCAATATCTACGTTAAGTTTAATTACATCAGGAAAGAAAACATTGATTCTCGATAATTCCTATAAAATAAATATATAGACAAACAAAGACATATATTTTACATCATGACAAACTTCTTCTTTCATCTTTCCATATGCGAAGGATTTCAATTTTAAAAAAGTTTCCTTGATATTTTTTATTGTAAATAAATCATTATTCAACAACGTTGTCGAATTAGAAAGATAAATATATTTTGAATTTAATTCATATTGTAGAATTGATTTACAAATTGGTATCGAATAAATTTGAATGGTAAATGGATAATTAGAATTAAAGTGACAGATTACAAACCATTTTTTATATTCAATCCAAAATGAACTTCGACATGATTCAATTATTGATTGAAGATCTTCTTGAGTTTGACTAATTGATTTAGAAATATCAATAAAAAATTCAAAACTGTTCAAATTAGGAAGACTTAATTGAATAAATTGTTCATATCGTTTACCGTCAAATACAGATTGTTGACCTATTAATTTTAGATAAATAAGTGATGGCATTAATAAAAGAAATGATTCAAGTTGATCGATTGTAACATTTAATTTTTCTATGGTTAATGAAGTTAGTTGTGGAAAAGGACAAGTCTGCTTCATATTCTTAATTAAAGTTGATAAATTTTGTTTCAGAATAAGTGTTTGAAGTTGAGGAGAATGTGAAAGTATAGTTAACATATCATCAAAAATAATCTCTGAATCTATAATTAAATATTCAATCTTAGAATTGACAGACCATAATATATTTGATATTCGATCGTTTTTTATATTCAATTCAACTTTTCGAAGATTTGATTGTGCTAAAATTGACGAAAGAAAATGTAATGTTGTTTTTTTTCGTCTATCATCATATTCTTGAATATGTAATGAAAATGAAGTCAGAAAATTGAAATTGATACGTTTTAAAATCATGTTCAATTGATATTCTTTAATACCAAGAAAAGTTATTGAATGAAGTCGAGTAAATTGTCGAAGACAAACCAATGACATAAATAAAGTTATTTGATTTAGATTATATTTATCTTCACAAAGTCTTAACGATATAACATTCTGAGGATTAATTAAACGACAAAATAGATGAAAATTTAGCTTCGATGTTGACTTAAAATCCAAAATATATCGATCATAACTATTGACCATTGCTTGAAATAATCGACATACTGGTCGAATTGACAATAAAATTGTTTGAGCATCAAGATTATCAAAAATATAATGAAATATTTCCACTGGTAATATTTGAATTGATGGACCCGTATTATTTGACATTCGAGTTAGAAATATTCTATGTTGGTAATTTCCAAGTTTACTTTTTATTAACGTGAGCCGTTGCGAGTGTTACTGTCAGAATCATTTCTTTTTTTACCTGTGACAAAATAAAAAGAAAACGAAAGAAAATATTGTGCTTCTTGTTTTTTTTTCACGTGTTATTTAGGTTGGAAATTGAAGAAGGTAAACCGAATGAATCATTAGCTTAACATTTGAATGAAGATCTTGCATTCTTTAAAGAAATTGTACTACTTAGATGTTTTTTTTTTTCGAAATTCTCTTTCAAATATTGGTTCCTAGAAGAAAAGTTGAATACCTAAAAATATATAACTTTTGAGATGAATTTATTTGATTAGAAAAAAAACGAATTTCAATCAATCATTTATTCCATGAGTTGTTTGTTTTCATCGTTTAGTTTAAAGAAGCCTGATTGAGGTAAGCGACGTATGTTTTATATAGCGAGTTTTTGTTAAATACTATTCGGATAAAAAATGCGAATAACTCGTGAATAGACGAAAAGACTTGCACTGTTGTTAAATAATTTCATTCTATGTTCCTATAACGATGTGGGTGAGGTTGTGGAAATCATCTTCATTCGTACCAACATTCACACGCTTGAGAAGAGGATGTTAGGTTGAATTATTATCACACAGTTTGTATGATGATGTTTTCATGTGAAATTCAATGGGAGATTATTGGTTAATGATACTTTCAAGTCTGCAGGATAGTGGTATCCTTTCGAAGAGAAAATTATTAATTCTATGAAAAAAGTTATTTCTCAAGTGATATTTCATTAGATCGGATTTTCCAACAAACTGCTTCTCGTCCTTTTCAAGTAGATTCTAACTAGTAACAAGTGTTGATACGACTCTAGATGTAGTTGTTATTCTTCTCTTTTCCTAGAATCACACCCTTCCTTAACGTAAACAATAATGGATTCAACGTGGAGTTGATTATTTCCGAAATAATTACTTATTAAGTTTATATTTTTTGATGCAACACCTTTTTACATAATACAGAAGAGCATGAAACGATGGATACTCAGTAGACTCTTTTAATAGTAATGTAAAAGAATTTTCATTACTTTCATTGTTCTAATGAAAATTTTCGATTATTAATCTTTTTCAATAGCTGACATGAAAATAAAACTCAATGTATTTTTAAACTTGAAAATATTTCTTCAGAAATTTCAAAAATTGAACTGTTTGATTCATTTAGGATATAAAATTAGTAGAATATGTTCTCTATCTGTTAAACTATTTTAGAAAACCATTTTCAGCATTATTTACTGATACAGTTTTGTTAAAAGAATATCCACATAATTACTATGTTACGATTATGTCTACAACATATCATTATCAATTCAATATATTACGATAGATATATTCTAGAAACAAACAGTTCTGCTTTAAATAAATATACGTATTTCCAACATTCAGAACAAATACTCGACTTTTATTGACTATCAAAATAAAAAAATCTGATTTTTAACTCATTTTCATCATAAATGAATATTTTCTACGAAAATATAAATAATCTATAAAAATAATGAATACGAAGATTAATGTTCTGAGTATAATAATTTAGTGCTAGGATCTACTTTAAAACCCATATTCACGCCCTTATATGCTACAATTTAATTGTTCGATCAATAGTTGTTTTTTCGTGTCGTATCCTAGGTCTCTGTGATGTGTAGAAAACCTCATCAATCTTTTTTCAAAAATAATCCATCGAACATATTTTTTACTACCACTAATGGTAATCGATCTAGTGCGGTCCATCACTCTATGTCGAAAATATAAAGCATATGACAAGCATCAGTATTTGACAAATCAGGAACTGTTCGCAAAAAAAACATATGGTCATGATTGTAATGTAACATGTTTGATAATTTCATAGCAATCACTTATCCAAAAGAGTTTCAAATAACTTGACACTCGTTCGAAATTCCAATCAATCATGGAAGTAAAAGAAACGGTTATCAACACGTGAAGATGACATGTGTGCATGCAAGAAACCAAACAAAAAAAAATACAAACGAAACTTCATCAGTGTTTATATGAGGTAGTGCGATTTGCATATACAAGTATAAGAGATAGAACTTATGGATGGTCACTCAGAAACCCTCTTACATATTTAGTACTGCTGTAGAGATTATTTATCTCTATTGCATCTACATCTTATAATGTTTGTTTTACTCTTGTGTGTAGACGCATGTTGGGTGAAGTGTTTTCCAGCGTCCATAGCAACGAAAATAAATCCTATGGATGTACTTGCGACTGGATATTCTCGAATAGACACGCAAGAATTTTACAAGCTCTGGTAAGATAAAGAATAATTGTATGTGCATGCAATATTCTCTTAAGTGATAATACATTCCTTAGAAACTTATATGCAGGCAAGCATGTTTAAGACTTTCACAATTGAATAGGAGATCAATGTTCGATTATAGTTAGATAACTATTCCAAAATAATGAATTATGTCATTGTTGAATTAAAAAAATGATACAGATGAATCCGATCAGGTTCATCGATAGGGCCTAATCCTGAATAAGAATGAATTGAGATGGTCAGTTTTAAAATTAAAAACGATGAATACTCGAAAACCAAAAAGACTAGAGATATCGATCTTCTGATATTTCTCAAGTAGCTCTTAAGCTACTTTTTTCACTGTATTCAATATATGGACCACTACAGAATGTAGAAAAATAGAAGTGAAATCTTTTTAAGATATTTTTTTGATGGAGACCATTTGTAAGCAGACGTATTCAGAAGAAAACGAGTATTGACAATAAACTTCGTTTGTTTTTTATTTTTTTTAAAACTCATACTACACTATTTCTTTTTTTTTGAACCGATTAGAGATTATTTTATTCAATTTACATCTTACAACATCTAACATGTCTGAGAATTTTAATTGATGACTTAAGAACGATAAAAGTTTGTTAGTCATAAAATGAATTGAACCTTATACATATTTCGTTTACTGTAATTCTTTTACGTTAAATAGTCATATCTTCCTATGACAAGATGATTTTTTATCATCGTGCAAATATAAGTTGCTTTATTGTAAATGGATGCAATGTTATATTTTCCGGAGTAACTCTATTAGTTAAACGTTGTATTCTTCGTCGTATTTTTATCCAGATTTCCGGCAACGATCCAAAAAATACAAAAGGCATAAAAATATTGATGAAATAAGCTAGAAAATAAAAAAAGAGTTCAACTTGACCAATTGCTTCATATGGTAAACCGCAATTATGAGCTACAAGAATTGACAACATAGGAAGATCGAATAAAAGATAAACGACTGAACATGATATTATTTGTAAAATCATTTTGTAATATTTGTTCCATTGCACATGTTGATGAAGACGTTGTTTTTGTTTGACAACACGAATAATTAACAAAATATTGATGATAACAATCAGAGGTATTGGTAAAAGAAAATGGACAATATTTTCATATGCTAGAAGATTGTTATCATCAGAATAACATGGGTAATCACACCAGTTTTGTGTATAATCAAATTCATTTTCACATGATGGAAAAAAAATGACAATAGTATAAAAACTAAAACAATATAGAATGATTATTGTTATTGGTAAATAATGAATAAGAAAACGTTTTGTTTGAGTATTTATCCAATTAGTATGAAATACAAGAATATGTCGTTCGATTGTAGCCCAAACCATGAGAAAACCAAATAAAGTGAAACAAGCTAAATTCACAAAACACCATAAATAACATGTGCTTGCTAATTGAGGCCAAACATATCCTAGCCAAATAAATATAAGATAGTTTGGAATGTCAAGAAATAAAGACGATAGTCCAACGATAAGAAGAACGATAACAACATGATTATTCAATGCATTGCGTAGGTTTTGATCAAAGAGCAAATTGTACAGAAGAAAAACAGAACAAACTATAGATGGTATTAAAAATATGAACATAATCCAAAAACAAGCCATTGGTGGTACAGAAGTAAACAATATTGTAACTGATGAAGATTCAGTATCGTTAATTTCCATGATGAAGCTATCGTTTACAGAGATAGCAGTCATGATTACTAAAGAAAAATGATAAACACAATGTAAAACAAAAAAATATGCTGTTATTTGTCAATAGTTTGTTTGCGAGTGTTATAGTAATGCATAAGTTTTTATGATCTTTTGTAAAGTATAGTACAATGAGAGACAAAATAGTATTCGTGTCAACCAATCGCATGGCACATTGTGTATGATAATAATGTTTTGACATTTCCTTACTCTTTATTTTCATGCACTAGAGAGAGCGCTCACTCATCATTAGCAATGAATGAAACAAAATGAATTATTTCTATTTACTCAAATGAGAATACATCTATGAGATCATTAAGTATTATTATTTACGCTCTAAGATGAAGCCACATTGAGAATTCCAGGTAATGGAATAATCAAGGGTTACTAAAATCTTACCGAACGCAGTTGTATCAGCTACACTTCTCAAAAGTTTCCCACCATCAAAATCATAGAAACGTCACAATCTCCGTGCAAATTCAATACGTTCGTAGTATGCAGTTTTGTATGATTGGGCATAACTTTATGAAAAGCTACTTCACTAGAAAACATCTTGAACTTCTATCTTATATTTCAATATACAAACGTACACCATGACTTTTTTTTGCCAACGAATTTTTAGTATCGAGATACTCTGTCTATTATTTTATTACATAGATATTTTGACTCACATAAAGTGAATAATTATTTCTATGAAAAAGATATTCTGAATAAGACTATTAATATTAAGAACTTTTCTTATTAAATCAATCTACTGCCTGGCATCGAAATAGAAGAACTCAGAGAAATACTATCATAAAAAAAAGTTTTTTTTCTAACGATCGTCTTTGTTTGCTTTACATTTTTTTTTTATTAAGACGACATTATAAAGATAATGGTTTAATGTAGTGTTAAGAATATATATCTTGATGCACGACGAAAAATATCTATGACATTCATATTGTCATCATTCTTGTTATGTTGAAACGATGATAAAGTTATGACAGACAACATCGTTTTTTTACTCCAAATGTGTTCGAATTTCTAGAGTGTGTGTGTTTTTTTTTACGAAAAAACCTATCATCCAAGTGAAAAAAATTATAACTACACATAGGAATATCACAATAGATGAACAAATACAAGAGAATATTTTTTCAACATCAAATACGTTGTCTGAGAATGATGTTGAATTCGGCCTCCTTTCTTATCATCTCCCTTCTCCTAATGTCTTCGTCTTGTAGAATTAGCTGCAAAGTTAACAGTTCTTATTTACTTCATTTTAACTTATTGTAACATTCATTTATTCAATTTTAAATATAGGACGAAGAGAAAAAAATAAAATCAATAATTTATATCCACTTTTTATTCACTTTATCCTATCATATAGTGTGAAGTAAAAAAATAACATAGGAAAAAATAATTTAGTGTATTGTAAATTAAATTCTTAATATAAAATAAAATTTAAAAAAACCAAATAAATAATTTATATCAGCTGTTTGTTGGTTCATTTGTCCAGCTCCTTTGTCCGCATAAACAGTCATTTAGGAGCATGAATGCTTTACTTGGGTTAATTAAAAATGGATTCGTGTTGTCATAAAAAAGTATAAAAATATATTTCGCATGTTGTCTAATTTGACAAAAAGCAAAATTGGATACTATAATACTATCGAGCTTCGTCGAATTCGGCAAGTTTCCACTGTCAGATAGTGTATGGATGCTATCAGAAAGAACCGAATGACTTCGTCCCTGGATGATATGACTCAAAAACAACAGGGTTTTAAAAGTATAACTAAAAAAAGAGACACATTCAGAAGAAAAACTAAATGAAAAGGAATATTCTTCATGTATTAGCATATTTGGATGATTGTCATTAGAATACACTTAGTATTTTAATTAATCTGTCAAAAACAATATAATGATCTCTTGGATTAACGCTTCTATCAATAGATACACAGTTCTTTTAGCAGTGTTAACAATGCGAGCACTGAGTAAATCAAATCTTTTCTTGTTATCATCTACATAGAAAAATGAATATGATAATAGTCATCTGTTGATGAGCACCAATAAAGTACGTCAGAAACATCAATTTTTAATTTTTTTAATTTTTTGTCCTTAAATTCTACCTGAATATATGTCGCTTTTGTGAGTGTAAAGTTATCGAAGTACGATTCATTCTTTAGTTGTCTTAGTCTAACGAAGGAACGTTTTCAACTGGCCAATCACTTTTTTATCGAAAGCTACTGATTTGTCAGTTATCAAATTATACTGATTCCCATTATAACCATAAGAAATCTCCTTATGTCTTTATATATCGGTTTTCTAGACTAACAAAAATTTTGCCGAGAAAACGTTTTTTTTTTGTAGAAAATGCAACCATTTTAATTCGTACTACAGACACATATCAATGCTTTACTGTGCAAATCTTCAAGATGATATTATTTTATTTATAATTCAGATTTGGAAAGCAGAAAAAATTATTTTGTTCTAAGAAAATCGTTATGCTTTATCATGGAAACATATTCATTTTGTTTTGGTGTAAATTTTGTTAGTCTAGAAAGCTGATTTTCTACACAACCAGAATACAAAGACTTAATAGAAGTTTTTATGTTTATATTCAAAATCATCATGACCGATCATCAAAAAACCATTAGCTTTCGCTGGAAAAAAGTGATTAGTCAGTCGAAAACGTCGTCTCGTAAGTGAAAGCATTCAAGAATTGTTTCTTCTATTGAATGTTTGTTCTTGTAATCGAAGTTATCTGTTTCGTAGATACATTTTGTTTGATAATGTTGATCTTTGATGTGCTGCAAATCGAATTTCTTGAATTCAAAACACACTGGGTATTGAAAGACAATAATTTCATTCTTTCATTATAATACCAACACGTTGCCAACTTTCAATGGAGAAGTAGTAGCCGTGTTCCTTGCTAATTTATTGAAAACAAAGAGAATAGAAGAGATCCTATTTGTATCACTACCAGATGTGAAGAGAACTCTTTCTATTGGTTAAATGAAACAACTATTTTCCATGAAGAATAGAACGACATAGCAACTACAAGGCATACAAAAACGGGAAAATGACGCTCATCGTTGCACAAAAAGAGCAGAAAATTGACTCTTCACGCTCAAAAGAAGAAATGCAGCTTAATTAGTATATATTGTGATCTTTTTCAATGAGAATGAAGGACACTACATGTGGTGAATGACTATTTCTGTTCTCTGTTAATCTCTTCTAGACAATTTTCGAATATATCCGATCAACAATACTAACTCAATGATAACAAACATAGAAATTACACGTCAATGGATTATTTAATAAGCACAAACAACTTGATACTATTTATTTCTATCTATACTAAATTGAAAAGTCATAATATATGCCACAATATTAATCACCAATATTTCATTGCTTTGTATAGATGCAAAAGAAAGATGATTATCAGCGGTATTTTAAAATGATATTCTTATACAATAGATCTTCTCTTGCTCACTATTGCATCGAGTTTAATGTTTTAATCCTTATCATCACGTGAACAAAACTTTGATTTGGAAAAAAATGATATAACTTTTGTCGTCAACTGTAACTATTATGCCTGACAGAAACATACTTATTTGTAATGTTTGAAGAAAAAAGTTCCTTAAATTATCAATATATGCTTACTCATGACTGCAATCATAGCATCATTATTGATGAAAGCACCTGCAATCCTCTCTTGAAATCAACCATATTTATTGACTTTGACTGAAAACTTTCGTGATTGTTTATATATTCGAGCAATATATCTGTACATATTCGTATATATGACAGAGATGTTCATCGCGGTCGAAAGTTCACCGCTACCGCACCGCGACGGTTTTCCAAAAAACCTACCGCACCGCCACTGTACCGCGATGAACTCTGACAACAAGCTACTGCACCGCTGTCGCACCGCGGTATAAAAATAACCTACCACCACCGCACCGCTTTCGCGGCGATGTTTAAGAAATTTTGTTGACTTTGGACCTTATGATTTGTCCGAACAGGAATAGGTCCTATTAGTTGGTCAAATTTGTTGAGGTTTGCCACATAGCAGATATGAATACCGAGATTCCTTGAAAATTCGTGAGTTTTAAAAATTTCTTCCTAAGAAATCGACCGCTATCGCATCGCTGCCGCGACGATATTTAAAAAATCTCTCCGCGCCGCCATGGACATCTCCAGTATATGAGTACATAGTCGTTAATTTCTTCAAACATATTAGCTTAGGTTTCAAATCGAAATAAATAATGGTTATATTTTCTTTGTTTTTCTTGAGTACTTTATTGATTCGGAACCTTTCGTTTTCATTGAATTTTTTGTATGAACAAGCATCACCTTTATTTTTCTTTGTTGAATTCATAAGCCAACACTTGATGATAAATTTCTATTTCATATAGATTGTATCGATTATGTCCTAAAATTCATGAAGAGGTAGAACAATAATAATAATAATAAATAAGAAAAGTCTTTAATACAATCAGTATGGGATTAAAATATGAAGTATTTATTGAGATCTGACAAATATTCTTGAGTATCGATAACGCTAAATAATCAAATGAGTGCAGTGATAGTTCTTCTAGTTGCATTATTTAACATAACCTCTTTGTTGTTCGATTTGCAATGATTTGTACATAAGATTCTATTGAAATTTCTTAAATAAATGCAGAATCTATTTTTTTTGTATGAATGACAACAAAATAATCGAATGAAATTTCAATATTCAAAATGAAATTTGTACTATCTATTGACAATAAAAGACAAATTAAAAAATTCCTTGATCCTTATTTGTTTCATACGTATTAGTTAGATTTCAAATCGGCTCAAATGTTGATGAGATATCATCAAAAACAAGAACATTTTCATCGGTTTCTGATTTAGATTTAGTCTTGATGCTCTCTTCTCGCATCTATGTAGTACTCTGCTGAGGCAAACATTCGATTGATTCCATCGTAGTAGCACATGTTCTTATAACACAA